GCTAATGTAATATATTGAACCTATATTAGTATATTTGGTGCATATTAAAACTACACCAATTACCACAATAACAATAGTACCTATCATAAAAATTAATTAAGCACCATTGGCATCTATAACAATTTGGTATTTTTTTTTTAACTTTTGGAAATACCCTCTAAAGATTTATTTCCTATTGATAATCACTATTCGCCTAACTCTAATGTGCAGTGGACTGCTCGTTAAGACACGGTTCTCAGAAGCATCACTGTCTGCGGTCAGTGTGCGGGTGGGTGACCACTTGGATCAGTCTGCTTAGGGACCGAGGATGTGCGGTATTAGTCCTCGTTAATAAACTGTTCTACCTTAAAGTGCTTGACTTCGCGTGCAGGTCGCCGGGCTGCCGAAGCGGGGGTGCCATCCCCTCTGCAGAGGATCAAAAATATAATAGCATGTCTTAATAAAATGTTTCCGATAAAGGTATCGATACACTTTATAAATTGTTGACTTCATGCATTTTTCAATTGATTTGTTAAAAGCTGTGCAAAATGTCTTAGCATAACTTAAGCACAGAAAATTTCGATTGAAAATTTTGGTCAGGTAGGATAGTGCGATCTTAGGCAGTACAGTTTAAGTAAAGCTTCAGCTCTTTGTTGTTTAAAGAATAAAGGTTGCTAAACGCATAAAAGCAATTAGTTTTACATTTCTAGATTCATCGAATTAGAGTTGTCAGACTGGCTATATTGCACCGGAAAAGGTAATAGGAGCTATTTTTCAGTTAACTGTGGATGTCTTACAGAGAGTAAACATTTCAAACAGAATAGCGTAGAGACACTTTCAAAGTGGTGCAAAGTGAAGCATCATTGTTTTTGCTAGCTTATTATTTTTTTATAAGTTTCTTGCAAATAAATTGTCTTTACTCAACAAATTTTTAACAACCAATAATCAGTACATTTTAAACGCAGTCACCTTGGGGCATCGTCCAGAAAACGTGGCAAATCGCGATCCTGTGCCTCTGTTGCATTCCAGACGGCTAATTGTTGACCAGTCTTGAGAATATCATCAATTTTTTATGATGCTTAACACTAGAAAGACTGAAAATTAGTATATACCTATATTGCCCAAAAGCAGTCAAAATCACTGGATTGTGAATGCGTAAAATTTTTTTTTCTCAATTAATTTTTAATATTTTTTATATTATTTACAGTTATATAACAAGTTATTAGTTAATATTAACAATAAAAAAATTATATGTTGTACAAAAAGTCACAAAATTCTGAGAAATTGTGTCACTATATACATCATTGTTTTTCTAATTGAAATTAAAAAGCAGTCAAAATGACTTCCTTAGGCAATCTAGTGTTAAGGATTATATTTAATTACGAAATTTATATTAATTTTCGATTATATGCCTTAACAATTTTGCAAGCCCTACATTGAAATTTTATCAAAAATGAAAATAGTTTTTATTCGTTGGCTTGTTGAAACTTGATGTTTCCAGACGAAGATCTCTACAGTAGGATTTATGTATTTTTCTAAAACAAAACGTAGATGATTTCTGAAGTTTTTGATTACGCAGATGATGATGCGGAGAGATGTCCCCAATTCAAATTTCAGATTACATACATTATTTCATTAAAATGAGTTAAAAAATAAACGAAGGAAATGAATTTAAACCCATATTTGTTTCTGAATTATGCAATTTTTTTTTGAGTTTTTACAGGTTTGCAATTATTGAAAAGACTGGGAAATTATTGGAGTAAGTCGATCTCCATCGAGTTCCATATTAGTTTTAAATTCCTTCCCAAATAGATACTAACTAATTATAGGAAATATGGATAGAGTTTAAATATGTGAAAGTTTGAAATCCAAGAAAATAAAAGTTATGAGTAAATATAGTGAGACTTTGATTATCCGAAGAAGTTTAGGTCGGAGTTACTTCCGATCATCAAAATATTTAGATTATATTGGTATTGCTGTTTTTTTTAATATAATTTCATCAATAAACTTATACAACTTTTGTTAATAATACAATCTGTACTGCAACGGATTAATGCTCTACGCATAATAATGCTTTACTGATTTTATAAATATTTGGTTTTCTTTTCTTTTCCTTTTTTTTCTTTTGCAAAAGAGTATTTATGAAAAGAAGATTTAAAAAAAAAGTTGTTTGGATTAGATAAATTTTATTTTAAAATTCGCTCCTGAATAGTGAATCCCTTCATTTTTTCTTCAATAAACCACTTGTACAAATCTAATTTACAATCTTTAACTAATTTATATTTCAATCATTAGCTAATTTAATTAGCAGATATGGAAGATATGATCAAGCTAAAACACATTTATAATAATGATAAGTATGATATAACAAAAATCACGACTTTCATATTTTTAACCAAAGCGACCAACTTCCATCTGACAAAACTTTTATTTGCTACACAAAAAGGTTTTTTAAAGGTTTACGGTCAAGAACATTTTGTACTTTTATGGTTTTGAAACCGTTTACAACTATTATGGCTANCCTTACTATGTGTTGTATATTGTGGGTAAGTTTCATAAAATTCCATGTGTAATTTCTTGAGTTATCGCGATTTTTGTGAATTTTCCTTAATTTATGATAACCAGTGTATTATGGCTATAAAACCGTGAATACAAAACTATACGTTTTTTCTAAAACTAGTTACAAGTAGCGTGGCTTCAAAACCGTAAAAAATAAATTTAAATGGACAAAAATAGAAAAATTACGCAGTTCGAAGGAATTAAGTGGCTTCATTACGTAAGCTTAGTTGGTGCGATAAAAATAAACGGTTTTTCTCACAGTTAACAGTTTGATTACCATCTTATTTATGGTTATTTAACTGTTTTGTTTGAATACAAATCGGAAGATTCTTAGCGAAATTTTTAAAGATGTAATAAAAACAGCTCATTATTTGAATTGTTTTAAGTTTCATCAACGAGTAAGATTACATCTCATTTATTTCTTCTCATTGAGTCATGAGTGAAATTTTTTTTTCCAAGTAGAGATGTTTCTTTTCAAATCTACGTAATCGCCTATTTCGTTACGATTATCATACTGAAAACTGCTCTTACATAAAACTACAATAATTGTATATTTTGAAAACGAAATGTTTGCGTTTTTGCTGAAAATATTTACATTTAAGGGAGAAAAATGAGGAATGAGGCAATTACGAGGATTGAAGAGCGGAGCGAGTAGGGGGTGGAGACTCCTGGTATATAGCAAAATTGTGTTCATTTACCTTGAAATAATAGATTCAATGGATTCAACCAGGACCTAATTAGAAGTTAGGTTTCGGAATTAAATGCGTAGTAGAATCCCATAGCATATACTTTTTGAATTCAGAAACAATTATTCAGAGTTAAAAATTCACCTTAAAAACTATATTTTAGGACCTTATTTAGAAACTTCATTTATTAGAAACCCATAGCATATACCTTTTGAATTCAGAAACAATTATTTCGAGTTAAATATTCCCCTTTAAAACTATATTTTAGGACCTTATTTACAAACTTTATTTACATGAAACCCATAGCATATACCTTTTGAATTGAGAAACAATTATTTAGAGTTAAAAATTTACCTTAAAAACTATATTTTAGGATCTTGAGTAAATGGGATAATTATTAGCATTTGCCCTGAAATCTGGCTTCCGAGAACCTTTCTCAAGAATCGGAGAAAAGAGTTTAAACAATTATCCGAAAGATGTGACTTTGACATAAATAATCAAAAATTCATAAATATTCGGTATGCGTGAAGTATGTCGCCCTGCTACATGTGCAGATGTTGGACTTTAAAAATGGATGTAACTGCAGATGTTGGACTTTAAAAATCATTAATTTTACAATTTTTTTTTAAAATGTTGACTATAATGATTTTCTTTTCTTCTTCTTTTTTTATTTCTTAAAATATACCTTTTCTTTAATCATTAGATGAGCATGTTTGACAAGTAAGTATTCGAAAAAATTCGAATGCTAAACAAAGATATTTGCATGCATTCTTAATAGTTAGCATATAATAGTTATATTTGTACATTTTGCCTAATAAATTTCATTACAAATTGTTTCCTGCATCTAAATTTATATTTCCTCTTGTCTTTATTATTAGGCTGTACTGCATTACCATAATGCCCTTCAGTTCCGCGCAAACAAAAATACCAACAGCGATTGTATTTGTCCTCGGTAGCAGTGATGCAACAGTATTGTCATAAAAAAGCGTCGATGGTCAAGTGTCAAATTTCGCAATTTTCGCAAGAAACAAATCGAATATTTCCATCGCAGTTGTTGCTTATAAAATGTCAGATGTTAACGATCGTCGCTGACTAGTAGGAACTACAGACCGCTGCTTATTGCGGAAGCTTTTTCAGTATCCAGCCTTGTTTGGAGGCTGTGTGTCCGAATCCCCAGTTTCCGGCTAGAAATTATGTTCGATGATCTCTGGACTGCGGGGGCGTTCATCCCGAACCAACACCTTCCTGAAGGCAGGTAGAGTGCCTAACTGCACGCTGTCTACATGTGTTTGCAACAGATTCTTGCAAAGGCGTTGCTGGTTGTCGAACGTTTCCTCTGGAGCGAGTGGCCGATGTTCCGTTTGTTCTCTTTAGCAAATGATGTCTCTTACTAATGATTGGATACACTGTTGTCCTATTTTTTCGATACTGCAAGTAACCTAACGTAACTAAATTAATAAGGTGACTGTTTTGTTTTGGAATGAAGTCTTTTGAATTGAAGTCTTGATAGAATTTAGAATTTTAAAGCGAAAAGAGAAGCCATTTTCAAGAACTGTTTGGTGTATGTGGTGTACCATGTCTACGAATTTCAGTTGAAATTGTTTAATGCGTTAAATGACAGTTTAACTTGAAATACAAGTGTGATTAAAAAGAAAAGACTTACTGAACACCTCCACTGATGCCATTTTTTCTAAACTAAAGTTATAGGGGAAAAAAACTAACAATGCTGTAGACAGAAACCTTACAAATAGACGTGGAATTCTTAGAATTGCGAGAGACATTTTTTCAAGAAAAAATTGAGTAAATAATCTCCAAATATGAAAGAGATATATGTAAACAATCTCACATGAAATCAAAAAGATTTTTTTTCAGTTACTCAATGCATCAAAAGAGAAATGAAATGAAATTTTGGTGGTGGCAATTCATCATATTCCTTGAAGGTAGGCTTTTTATCAATCAAATTTCAAATTAAGCTTGGAATAATTTTCTTTTATCAATCAACGTAAAACAATTTATTAATTATAATAATTGTGAATTAAAATAATCCTATTTTTAGAATATTTTAAATATTATTATTTGAAAATAAAATATATCATTATATTGTTATTTACATAGAGTATGCTAATTAATTATGCTATTTATATGAGTATGTTTGCATTCAGTTTATCCGTATTTCTTTATTATTTTAGAGGGGAAGCTTTCATACTCAAATCATTTTAAAACAAACACGGCTTTTTAAAATAGATTTATATTAAACATGATTTAATTTCAACAAATAGGAGATATGTTAATTTCATCTGAAGGTGTACATCACTGTAAAATTCTTAACTCAACTTAAATCTTTAATATTTTTTTAAAAATATAATGTGATAAATTATTTTTTGAGAACATTGTCCATAAAGTATGCAAAAACAATTAACATAAATAAAAAAAGTTTTTTATGTATTCTTTTAGTATATTAAATAAGCTTATTAATAATAAATAAATAATTAACAAATATTAATAATTAATAAATAATTTTTTGTTGAAATTTTTACAATAGTATTTTCTTTTAAAGCAGGAGTGCAATTTCAGCTTTGCTGCAAGCTTTATTAAGTCAACTAATTTTGTCTCGTGCCAAAAACAATGAGAGAAAACAACAAATAGTGTTAGTATACTGAAAAACAAAATAATTAATGTTATTAATGCATTTAACAAGGGAGTATTCTGAACTTCTTTATACAGTCGAACCTCGCTAACTCGAACCTCGATTTCACGAATTTTTCGATATCTCAAAGGAAAGAAAAATTCCTTCAAATTTCCTATACATTCAATGCTACAAAAAACTTGATTTTACGAATTTTTTTCCTAATCCCTCGATAACTTGAATTTTTTTCCATAAATAGTGTCGATTTTTTTTCTGAAAATAAAAAAATATTCCAAAAAAAATAAAAAATTTTAAGAATAAAAAACCAATTCACACTGTAACTGTAAGACTGTGGACATTGTAAGAAGATTTATTGAGAGGCAGAATATGTCAGAGGAGACATTTAAAGCTACAGTCCACTTAGAAAGTGTTATAGACAAACTTTCTTACTCATCTCTAAAGCAAACAACATTTGAATCTTATTTTTAAATGAAAGTGTAAAAAGTGTTTTTAGAATAAATATGGAATATATAGTAAATAAGTTATGTAAAGAGCATTTTTCTTTATTCTACCATCGATAACATGCAATTTTCTATCATTCGAATTTTCGGTATCTCGAATTTTTTCTCTTCTCCCTTCAAGTTCGAGATATCGAGGTTTGACTGTATTTTCTGTCTGTTTTAAGCGAGTAATTGACAACGCATGATCCTTCTCTTTTGTGACGAAGCAAAGTTTGTTAACCGAGCTGATAGCCAAACCATAAATGTACCAAATATAAACAAATACCGTTTTTTAAGTGTGCTTGCCACTCACGCTTAAACAAAAAGGCAGGGATTGTTACGTAACAGAGCCGGTTGAACCTCTTTATCCGGCTTTGAAGATCAAAAAATGTTGAGACAAGTATTTATATTGAAAATGAAACATTTTAAAGGTTCCATCCATCATGCGTTGTCCATTATTAAGGGGTTGGATAAGGCATGAATAAAATAATTAAAATTATTGCTAAAAATATCGCATTCAGTCGGAGTGGAATGTAAATTTTACTTTCAATTTTGCCTTTGCTGGCTGCAAACAGAGTACTTGTAGGCCTCAACCGGGAAGCCGGCCTTTATGTTCTACAAGCCTGCTTCAAAGTAATTAACGTAAACAGTAAAAAAATTCTAATAAAAACATTATATTACATAGAAGCTTCCTGTTTATCCTCAAATTATTAGATTGTTCCAAATGAAATTAGTTTTTTATGCACATATTTTAGAAAATGACGAAAAAGAAATTTTTTTTTCAATTCTATTCAAACAAAGAATGTTAATATTACACCTAAACTTAACACTAGAATGCCTAAGGAAGTCATTTTGACAGCGTTTTAATTTCAATTAGAAAAACAATGATGTATATAATGACTCAATTTCTTAAAATTTTGAGACTTTTTGTACAACATATAATTTTTTTAATTGTTAAAATTTACTATTAACTTGTTATGTAACTGTAAATAATATAAAAAATATTAAAAATTAGTTTTAAACAAATTTTTTTACGAATTCACAATCCAGTCAGTTTGACTGCTTTTGGGCAATGTAGGTATATACTAATTTTCAGTCTTTCTAGTGTTAACTCAGTGATACGACGGTCCATGGAAGGTTTAAGGTCTACTGTACCCATCCCTGTTTTCTTCACCTTGTAGAAGCAGATTTTTCGGTTGGGTGGTCAGTCGAACTTAAATTTCCCAAATGTTTATTCCCCAAGCATGTTTGGTAATTATTTTATTAGCCTACTAAAGGGGTGTAAGACTGAGTCAACCTTCTCCGGTCCGAGGATGGAACCCCAGATCTGTGGCATGGGAGCGCGAAGCGCAACCACTCAGCCACCAAGCCTAAATTTTACACCTGCCAAAATCAATTCTATGTACGTTTGCATTGTTTTGACAAAACACTAGTTCAAGTATAATTATACCAGTAAAAACATCTTTGAATTAAATGTCTGTTCATTTAGAAATGGTATATTGGTTCATTCGACAACTTCTAATGGGAAACATCGTTTATTATTTTTTAGAGTTGGTTTATAAATGTTAATTCAAAGCATCGGTTTTGTACTTTTTCATATTTATTATTTTAACCTCGATCCGGCCATATTTATATTGATTTGAATCCATAATTCAAACATGAGTTACAAAATAAAGCTGTTAATTCAAAACAATACATTCATCAGTTTTGTATCCATTAATTTAATGCATATTTAATACATACCATAAGTCTAATGTATAATTCTAGGTCTCAGACTGCAGTCAGCAGTCCATTAATGTCACTTAAGTGCTATCACAACAACCGAACTACAGGTTCAAGTCCATTGGTTTGAATAAATTTGTTATATTCTGTTTATTCCACTCAATTAAGATTAGAATTAGTGGAGTTGATTTATTATTCACGCTGGTAGTTCAAATAAACTAATTCATTAGACATGTATCAATTTATGTATGACATGTATAATTAATTTTTCTAGTGTCTATAGTTACATCGTTGGCAGAAGCTCAGCAGAACAACAGCATCCCAGTGACTCACAGTGATTGCGAATTGAAAATATATAGCTGTACCAAACTCGTCAAACCTATGTTGAACGACGTCAGATACATGTTCCCTACGACACTCAGTGACGTTGATGCCATGTGCAAGTAAGAATTTAATTTTAAATCAATGGAAATATTTAATTAAATATCTATTTTTTTCAATTTTATAGATTAGCATCTAAAGATATTTTTATTTATAATGTCAGGCCAATTGGGTGTTTGCAACACGAGAAGTGAAGTGATTGTGCTTGATTTAAATCAGATTTAATTGGATACTTGTAAGTGACGTCACGCGACTGCTTCGAACCTGATCGGCAACTGAATCGACAAATTCCACGATTTACGATGACGTCAGATGCAGGTATCCAATTGAAGCAAATAGGCATAAACTGAAATTTTCTTTGCTATTTTTTAAATATCGGTTTTGGACCAAAATAAAAAAGACAATAATCCTAGCTTTTGTAATGTTTACTGTTTATCTCATATAAAATATTGAGTGCTCTAAAAAGTTAAAATTAAAACCACCTCTCACACGAATAGGGCTAATGTGATAAGTCTTTATTTTTTAAATTGATTTTAAGCAATAAAAAGTTGAAAAGTATGTTTCATCATCATATTATCCCTAAATATTTTCTCACATTAGATTTACTTTGATAGATGGTAAATTCGGCCCCATTAAGTATATTCCTAGGTTTAATGTCTCTAACATTTCTGAATGAACCTTTTACTTTTATTATTCACGACTACGATGAATATTAACATATATCTTCATTCAAATGCTGTACAACTAATGTTTTAAAATCTATTTAAAAGGGGCTTTTTTTATGAAAAACGAAAAGTTATTTAATGTATACTTTTTTGAATTATATTTTTATATATTTTATATGTGTTTATGATCAATGCGAATAGAATGATGCATTTTTAACTTCATTTTATTACTTTAAAATTGATAAATTTGTCAAAGAATTTCACATAAACCCCGTAATTTTCAGTGTCTCATATTAAACCAATTATGCAATTTCTTGAAGATTTTAAAATTCATAAATATGTAATCAACACATAACTGCCACCAAAACTTCTTCGGTCGAATATTTTTAACTATGTCGAACTATGGAGAGTAATTCCTGGTTTTTAATTGGAACAAATAAATAAATAAAAATTAGGAATTAATTCAGATCTTTTTTTTTAGCTAACTTTTATTTCTTAGTTACATACTTATAATAAAACATTCTTAAGCGGTTCTGTTAAAAATCATCAACTTTTACTCGTGCTTTCTTTCTTTCTATTTCCTTTTTTTTTAAATTTGAAGTCAACTTTTTATTTTCTTAATATTATTCACAAATATATTACAAACACAGAAAAATTTTTAAAATTTGTTTTGCATGATGAGCTCATTTGCAAAGAAAGAAATGCTGTTTTAAAAAAAAATAATTAATAAAAAGAACTGTATATTTATATAGCTTTTCTACCAGGTCGATTCTTCTTAATTTATTGTAGTAAGACGATAGAAATGTTTTCGATAGTAAAAATTATTATAACATTTAAACTCACTAGTTGCTAGTTTCTACTAGTTTTTATTTTATTATAAATTTTTTTTCTTAGATTTACCTGCATGTAAGGCTTATATTCTTACATGTAAGGCTAGGTCATATTCCTGTATGTAAGGTTTACAAGTGTTGCTGTATATCGATACCGATGCTGTATATTTACTGATACAATTTTACGAAGAAATGAAGTTATCTCGCAATTAATGGGGACCAGGAAAAAAAACCACAACACAGTTAAAAAAAAAAATTTATATGGGAAACATGGAAGATTCCACCCACTTTCTTATAAGAAAATACTTTATTTTTTTAAGGACAATAAAATTTCTGCAAACATTTCTATTCTAACGTAAGTTATAAATTGCCCTTTTTATTACTGTTTTCTCAAAGAGAGTAAAAACAATTTCCAATTCCTATCTTGCAGGTAGTTTGACTCACTATGAAGGAGGTTAAATTCAAGGAAATCAAAAGAGTTTCTAAAATCTATATATCAGGAATGAGCTTATTTGTGTCTCATTCTGTAACTTAATAGTTAGTATATTTGAGGTCAGCCTCAAAATCAACTTTTAGCTTGTGAAATTCAGATTTAATTATTTATCTATTTTACGTATAGAGGAGATATGATTTAAAAAAAAAGATTTCAGACTTCGTAAAATTTCTTGAATCTCTCATTTTATTTTCATGCTCAAAAAAAAATTCTTCTTCATCAGCACTACAGCCCAGTGCAGGCTAAGGCTTTCTCTATCTGAGTGCAGTACGATTTACTGCAAGGTTTCTCCACTTGTTCAGTCCCAACACTCTCAAATCCTTCGCTACGCTGTCCAGGCATATTGTATTCGGTTTGCCGCTACTTCTTGTACCCTCTATCTTTAAGAATATCACAATTTTCCGGCTGGATCTAGATCTGACCGTTGAAACAAGTTCCGATAGTAAAGTTAGATGCATGAGCCATTTGATCCTGAAGAACTTAATAACTCTTAAAAAGTTAGGTTGCTTATATTTATTATATATATCATGGTTTCTCCAAATAAATTTCTCCAAATGATATTTTCTTTAAGGGCTTTCAAACATTGAGCGAAGAATCTTTCTTTCAAAAATGAGCAATCTATTTTACTCAATTTCATTGATTGTTCTGCTCTCACAACCATACAAAGCAATCAGAGTTTTGTACTTATAGAGATAAATTTCGACGTTAATTGATTCCTCAGTCTAAAATTTGCCATCAAAATACTGCTCTTAACTTCAGTTTCAATATCTTTATTTTTTTGGTAATAAAAACATTGAAAGGTACCGAGGTACTTAAATAGTTTAATCTTTTCAGACTATTTCCAAATCTGAAGGGTTGCACGTAATCTTCTTTGGTGAAATAAATTTCGTCTTTGGTTCGTTAACTGCCAATGGCAGTGTTCTCAAGGGCGAAAAACGTTTCCATAACAGCCTGTTTTGTTCGCCCTACTATATCATCTACGCTAATAATTGTACAGATCTCTGCAGAATGGTCTCCTTGGTGTTAATCCCAAAAAATGCGGATCGCTTATGAATTAAATGTTAATTTATGAATTATATATGGAACATCATTTTGATAAGTTAGGACTGGACTAGTTTAAACATCGCATCCAAAACTTATTTCTGTCAATATATCGCAAACAGCTATAAAATCTACATTATTGATATCATTATCCCTTTGTTTTTTACCCCTTTGTTCTTCGTCTAAACGAATGAATCTGATCAACTGTAGATTTTCCCACTTGAAGAGGTAGATTTCCCTCTTGTTATCAAAATTATAAGTAAATACCATATTAGTATTTACTTATAATTTTTATAACAGAGGGAAGAAGTCTAAGACATAAGTTATTGGAAAGGATTTTAAATTCTACTTCTACATTAAGAAGATTAATGCATTAGTTGTTGCGACAGTCCAGCTTGTCTCCTTTCTTGTGGATGGGGAAAATAGAACTCTCCTCCCATTCAATGCAAAAATTAAGAAAAATAAATAAATAAATGGGGACTAAAATTAGGAAAATTAAAAAAAAAATTTAACCATTTAACTTGAACTAACGAAATAAAAATGTTCGATGTTTTTGCAATTCATATGATTTTGCATGATACGATTTAATAGTTATAAAATTATTGGAATATAAGTTTCTGTATTTAGGACTCCGTTTATTTCGAATTATTATTTAATATTATAAACAGTATTATTTAATAATAAAATAATTAATTTTTTAAGGATGTGGAGCCGTTTTGTGGATTGTGTGAGAAGATACATGTCCTCTTGCTCGACTGAAGACCAGCGGTCAAAATTTAACAAAGCGGTTAGTCACTCAATGGACACAGTCCATCAGATTTGTAGCTCTGATCGACATCAAAAAGGTAAGTCTAAAAATTTTTTTGGAATACTAATTTTTTTCAAAGTTGGTTTAAATGAGAGAAACGCAGTCGAAGCATATAAAAATGATTTGTTATAGACTTTTGCAGCGGTTGTGATAAGTTTAATATGTATTTTTTTCCATTTTCTTGCTATTTTAATCTTTATTTTATCATGTTACGAATACAAAATTTAAAAAATTAGCTTTTTTCATAATATAATGTTCATAACTTATTTTTTAAATTATCGATAACTTGACATTATTAGAAGAAAAAAATCATCCAAATTTTATTTCGTCTTGATTTTTTTAAAATTACATGATTGCACTTTCATTGCATGTAGGATTTTTTTAAAAATAAATATTTTTCACAAAATGGCGGTGTTTTGAAAAAAAAATAATCAAAAAATTACACAAGTTAAATTTTTGTGGATTACTCAAAACCAGCCAAACCAATAAAAAAAATACCTTTGTGCAAATATACCAAACGCAATCCTTACGTAATCACTATTGTGAACATAGCATCAAAATTTGAAGTACATCAGTGGACAAGTGTACTAGTTAGAGATACAGCAAGTAAGAGAAACATAGTTTCCAGTGTATTGCGTTTAAAGTTTTGTGGTCTATAATCCATATAAGTATATAAAATTTTACAACTTACTATGATGCATCAATACCAGGTCTATGAGATGCTTGTTCTCCCCCCATTTTCAGCAGTTTCTGCCAAAAATGATAGAGAACAAGCTGAAATTCTGCGATCATTTTCATTTTGAGCATATTTTTTTGGCTGCTGGGGCAATATTTATTTCTAATTGTTTCAAAACTATCAATAACTAAATATTACTGCTAAATACTTTGATATTATGATGATTATTAATTCTCTAAATATAAATAATTCAAGTATAACTACCACCAATATATGTACAAGAATTAATCTATTACCATTTCGCCATAATGTATTTTTTCGTATTTTACTTTACTTACACAACAATAAATTAATATGCCAATTAAAAACTAATGTGTCTGAAAGGAGACCAACTGAAATATATGAGATTACCCACTTTACAAAAGAAATGTCACGAAAACAGTTTTTTTACTTAGCACCTAAATTATATAATAAATTACCATTTCAGTTGCAAAATATTCAAATATATTCTTCTTTTAAGCGTGCTTTATTTCAATTTGTGATGAACATCGACGATTTAGATCTCTATTTTTCACTTTAAAGGAAGCATTTGATTTTTTATACCAGTCTTGTGCCATTCCAAATGAATTTCTTATGTTACCTTTGTTATTTTTTTCCTTTTTTTTTAAATTTCTATTTTAAACTTATTGTATTACCTCTCTTTGTCACCTGGACAGGATTTTCCTCTTGGCGACATATATTCTTTGTATTTATGTGTTTGTTTTTGTTCCCAATAAAGTTCTTTTTGCTTGCTTGCTGAAAAAAAAAGGTTGCAATTTCAGCAATTTATATTGAAAATACTATTAATTATTTTTCTTATATAATTCATACAAGTTATTTCAATAAAATAGTTTAAATAATAGTGTTTTACTAAAATGTTTTCATAGAAAGGAGCAAATCCATTAATCAACTCAGCGCACAAGTTAATTTGTTCGTGCATGTCACAGTGTTTGCTGCGTTGAGCTCAACATATTACGCTGTAACTTATTTATTTTTACGAAAACCAATTCAATATTTAGGTACTATAATCTTAAAAAAATAAATTATCAATAAATTATGTAATAATTTTTCTCTCAAAATTTTACTGAGTTGTTCTCTCTTAGTATGCTTCCAATTCTCTTTATTTTTAAACATTGAAATCTGAACAACTAATTTTATAATATCGTCCTCTTATTTTTGGATTGATTTTTTTTTAAAAATATTCTTCTAAGATTGACCTTGACATTTATTTTAAATCGTTCACCCTTCGAAAGGAATTACTTCATTAAGACTGGAAGTTTCCTTTCTTCTTCCGGTTGTTTTCTTACTTCAGTTGCCATTAGGATTACTTAACTTGCCTAATCTGATCAACTTGTTTGTTGATTTTAGCGAGTGAAGGATTTGATTGAACAGAAATCTTAAATCATAGAATTTGTGTTGAAATTTACAGACTGTTTAAGATCTCAGGTAGTATTATAAGCTAGAATTTAGAAATGTTAGAGAGATTTTGCATCACGTTACAGTTTTTGTAAATCTAATCCTAACTCCATTTAAGCGAAAATTTCTCCACAAATCGTAGAATCATCAAGAAGTCATCTTGGATTTTACGTAAAATTTTTAATTTGTGTTTTCGCGATATATTTTGTCCCTAACAAACTTTTGTTAATACAGTATTATTAGACAGCTTTCAAAATAAAGGTAGAAAATAAAAGTATCACTTTATTACAGTGTTTCCCAAACTTATGACTTTTGTGTACCCTTTCTAAATTTTTCGTAACGCTGTGTATCACTAATAAAAAAATGAACGTATTTTTTATTATAAAAAAATTGCTCTAAAGTTAAAAATCACAACTGGCTGTTGATACCACAACTTATTAACTGTTAACTCTGCAAAATATAGCCAGTAGAAAAATACGCAATCATAAATTTACATGGCTAGCTTTATTTTTAAATAAAATTTTTTGAAATTTTTGTTTGTTGCAAGATATTTCACATAAGAACGCGTACCCCAGATAAACTGTTCCCGTACCCCTGGGGGTACGCGTACCACACTTTGGGAAACACTGTTTTATTAGATTAGGAGAAATAGCGCTTGATAATTGATTGTAAATTATTGTTTATTGAAAAAAGGTTTCAGGCTCAGATTCTAATTTTCTAAACTCTTTCACAACTTTAAAAAAAACGTTTTGGTTCAGTTATTAAAGATGAAAATGTAAAAATTATAAGGTCTAAAAAATTACAGCGATCTGCTGCTGTGTTCGGTGAGGCTAGCACTAATTGTCAAATGATTTTCATTTAGCTTAAGATTTTGATTTGCTTTTTAAATTTTTGTTTTAGTCAACTTAGAATTTCAGTTGGTTCAGTTTTTCTCATCGCTTTTTCTTATACAATTTAGTGAGTTAAAAGTTTTAATTAGTGATTAACACTTATTAAATCAATTTAAATTCTCTTGTATATTAACAAAATTTAAGACAATATTAAAAAGATATTGATCTACTGCATGCATTTATTAATTATTATTTATTATTAAAACTATTTATAAAATAAATTCATTTAATAAAAACATTTATGTAATAAAAATCATTAAAAATTGCAACCTTTTTATGACTGGAGGTTCACTGCAAGACCGCTCAAATATCAAAATTCAAAGTTGCGATGAATAAGCATATTATTTTGAAGAAATGTTGAATACTAAACATATGTATTTTCTTCTTTGTTTCATAGATTATTTGGAAAGTGCTCACTGTTTCCGTCGTGTTTCAGTCCACAGTTGTGGCCGGTACTATCGACCTCTTGTGGCACAGGTAGCTAACCGAGAAGCAGAGGACACTCACATCTGCTGGTATGACCTCTTCTGTTTCTATTTCAACCCACCCCCTGACTCTGTTACAAAAAGTTTTCTTTTCGAATACAATAAAAATTGAAAACAGAGAGCGATGTTTTAGATTTCTATTGCATAAAGCATTGTATATAAGATGCAATAGAAAAAGCAGCTATATCACGTATGATGTTTCAGAAATCTTTAAATACTTATCTTGAAAGAAGATTTTTTCTTCCTTTGTCTGCTGCCATTTCTCAAAAACATTCCCTTTTTTAGATCTTTAAAAACTAAATTTTTGTTTTTTTTGTATAAACTGAAAAAAGTTCCAATATTAAGAACTAAAATATTAGGTATAAAATTAGAATTACAGAAAAAAAACTTTATACCAGGCACTAATCGATACGAAACAATGCAAAAATAACGAAATACAGAAAATATTAAAATAATTGGTCAAGTTATTACTGAAAACAATGATTGGCCAAATAAAAACTTTTCTATTAAGATAAGGGTAATTAGCTGGTTCATTATTTTATTCGGTAGTATGCAGCTTTCTGTCTTCAAATATATCAAAACATTGTCTCCCTATTTTTTCTTATGCATTACTATTTATTACGCATTACGATTATTATTATTTATTATTCTTTGAATGACAATGATGCTACATGAATTTTTAAAATACCTGTTTAAAACGTACACTAAAAATAATAAATAAGAAGAACTTTGCATTATGAACTCAATTGAATTGGTAGTAGCTTGTAATAATTTTAATTCCAGATAAAAATGTGCATTAAGTTCAGTATTTAGAAAGAAAAAAATTGCGTGCATTATAAATTCAGTTGAATTGTATTGAAATGGTAGTAGCATGATAATTCCACATGCATTAATTAAAAATAAATGTGTACATAATGAATTCAACTGAATTGTATTAAACTGCTAGTAGCGTGTTAATTCCACATTAAAATATGCATAAAGGGCATTAATTAAAAATAAATTGTGTACATCATGAATTCAAATGAATTTTATTGAAATGGTAGTAGATATAATAGTTTTATTTCCAGATTAAATGTGGAAAAAGATAATTTTCCTTTTGTTATCTATGATTTACAATTTAGAATCTCTTCAAAAACCGTCTTAAATATAAATTTTCGCATTTTTTAAATAATAAACTGAAAAAAAAATCACTTATAATATTTTCTTTCAATTGAAATTATTTAAGAGCATAGTTAACATTTTAATCAACAAGTGTAATTTTTGCCAGCATGTTTTATACGAAATGATTTGATGGTTAATTAATAATTTACCTCAGCAATTTTTTTTTCAACTTACATATTTCTAAAATTTTGTTATGTCATGTTTTCTTATTTATAAATTTTTTAGTGCATATGGTCAATTCAAAAGCTGTGTTAGTGCTCCACTGTTAAGGAATTGTGGCATAAAAGTTCATGCTCTATTAGATCATTCCCTATCTTATCTTGTAAGCAGATGTAGTAACACATTTTATCCGTAAGTAAAGCTTCAGCTCTTAGGAAAATATTTTAAAAAGGTTTTTGATTCTTATTTTTTGTTTATGTATATTCATTATTTTGTAATTTACGAAGAAATTCGTGTTGGTATAATAAACTTGCACTAAAATTTTGTTAAAATGTAAGTTAAGTGATATGCTAACTTTGGACGAGATATATATATTATTTTTACAATTGTATTTGTCGGTGGGATTAATTGGAATTTGGATTGAAAAATTGCTAACATAAATTCATTGTGTACACAAATTGTAATTTCGTATAAGAACTTTGAAGCAGTAAAAAAATTTCATTTCACTTCTGTCATATATTTATCTATTTTATTTTTGGCAAATTTCTTTGCAGTAATTAGTGTATAGTCAATACGAAATTCTTATAAAAAGCACAATTCAAAACGATTTTGTAAGATTTAGCATAAATCTTATAACATTCCCCTTAAAATCTGTTAATTTTATCGACAAACTTATTTAACTATCCGGTTGCTACCTTCAAATTCTTCCAAATTATATGCAAGACAAATTAATGAAGTAAAGAATTATTATATAATCAGCACACGTAATTATTATAAATTTTGTTCTTGATCAAATAAGTGTCTTAAATTGAGTTTTGATGTTATAAAACGTATTTTACATCAAAATTTGTCAAATATATTTCATTTGTTCAATTTTTTCTATATTCTACTTTTAATATTGATTTAGTTATTTAGAAGTGCTTTTAATATCACAATTTTGGATATCTCTAATTGTTTATAGATACATATGTAGAAAGCCAATTTCCTTTACACGAAGTATTAATTATAACTTTGTACTTTATTTGATGCATAAAACTAAAGTATTTTCTATTACAAAGAAAAAAATTATAGGAAAAAAAAAACTTAACTACAACTCTAGTTCCAACAATGTTTTAAAAGGTTCCAGAAGTTATTTAAATAATTCTAGAGTAATATTTATTTCATTATCCAAATTAAAATAAAATTAACTTTGTGTTGCGAATAAAGTTAAAGCGAAGTTAAAAAGCGTAAATCTTAGTATTACGGCGCAAAACAGATTGTAGTGTTTTAATTGATATTACTTGGGCTATTTCAGTTTGGCTTCGCTTTAACTTTATTCCGTTATTTTTTATTTATACTATTTTTGCTTTTTCTCTTTTTTAAAAATTTATTTACCCATTTTATGTAATTACATCTTATTTTGCTTCAATTTAACTTATCATATTTAGATTATCATATCACTGTCCAACTGCTCCCCCACCATCGCCGCTGACATCAGTGAGGACTACCACTCCGCTGCCACCTCCTCCATCTACAGAGACTTTACCAGCAGAGCTCACTGACACATCCACTAGTTCTGTGAGTAAAGCTAGGACCATCATTTATACCCTACCACCTACACAAGACAGTAGAACTTCTGCGGCATCTCCAGGTCTTAGCTATTGGTGTACAGCTAAACTTTGGGCCATGTCAATTTTTTGGATTTCAGTGATGTTTTAGAATTGCCCATTAGTTGCAGAATCCCATTTGCAATGCCACTTCATTGGTTTCATCCACTAAACTGAATGGATTATTGTTCACTGCCTTCTGTTTTATTCATTTATTTAATTATGATAGGCTTTATTATGCTTATTTCTCTAATTTATTCAAATCAGAAAATGTGTCGAGTTCATGGATTGAAATTCTGGGAAAACAGACCTGACGTCACAAATTAAGAAAAAAAAATAATAATAATAAATTTTAACATTAGTTTCAAATTTAGCAGACTAAAGACTCTAGCATTTTTCAAATCTCTAAGCATACTAAAATGATTGCGATGTATTAATATTAAAGAATGTTTAAAAACTTAAACAGAACTAAAAATTTGAAATTATTTTATTTTATTTTTAATGTGGAAAAAGTTGATTTATATAAATGCTAAGCAGCTATTTTCTCCGGATGTTTTAACTCTGTAACCTTTGATTTTGAACCAGATCGAAAAGACGAGGAAATCAAGGGGTAAATGAGGTTAACCCGCAGCTGCCTTTTATAGCTTAGAAAATCCCGAAATGTTCCAATTGATAGCCTAACAGCCCTGCTCTAAACCACGTAGCTATGTACCAAGGGAATATTTTATGTCAGAACTGTGGTCTGTGCCGGCGGGTATATAATTGAAGTAAAGCAAATAGGGTTGGTATTAAAACCTGAGTTTATCATGAGGCAATATTGATCCAACTAAATGTTTTTTGCAATAAAATTGAATAAAATAAATAGCTACACAAAAACTATTTTTATTTACTTTACAGAGCTTCAGAAAATGACATCGCAAGAATAAATACTTGAGCCTAACTCTGGACGGCATGGATTTAATTATAATCAGATTCTTATAAAAGTTAAACGAAGGTTCTAATTTTCTTTTCGAAGAAAATCAAAAAGATACGTGGGGGAACGTTTGAGTCATAGTATTGCGAACTACAAAATTAATCGCTTACGCACAGTCAGAACAATTTTTTTCTCATTGGTGGAAATTCTTAAAGATATTTTTCGAAGAAATTTAATTATTAAAAATATTCGAAATTTTCATAGAAGTTAAAACTTTGTTCTTTGTCTTAGAAAAAATGTTTTCACTATACATAATTGGGTGTAAATTTATGTTTCCAAATTGTGTACCTTAGTGAAAGATAGATAAATAAATTATGAAGAAAAATATTTATATAACTATTGTAAAAACTTGTATTCATTATAAGGGGAAAAATATTTATGCATCAATTTATGTTTTAAGTAAGTACAAATTTTTATGTCTCTCTATCACATTAAGTAATAAGTTTGTTAATCACAGTTTTATATTTTATAAATATTTTCTTCATTTATGTGTATGTTAGAATTAGAATTGCAGGAATAAAAAATATGTAAATATAGATGATTTCATACATGTCTTTAACTTTTCGTTTTAAATTATTTTATTTCACTTTAAAGGGCTTGGAAAAATGCTATGACAAGCAAAATTCCAAATCCATCGAAAAAAATGTAACTTTATTCAGAAAAAGTACGTTTTCGTGTCTGTTAAAAATATCGTAAAAGATATAACTTAAAATATCGTCTGCACTACTTAATATTAACATGCATAAATTATTTCAAGTTGAGGATATACCCTCCAACCGGTACGATTAAGTATTAGTACGTAAAAATCCGATCCTTAAATTAAAAGAATGTTATTCGGAGTGGTTCATTTTTTTTCGTATACTGTACAAAAAACTTATAAAAATGCGAATTCATTAAAAAAAAGCAACAAGACATTTTTTCAAACCATGAGTTTAGGAAATCTTAAACTTACAATGTTTTAATTAGTATTTAAATTATTTAGGTGATTTATTGTAAGATTAGTAAATGCAACATTTAATCTGTATTCTACAGGATGTGTAACGTTTATAAATTAGATTCTTTCATTAAAAAAATAATAAAATATTTATTGGAATAGACAAAAGTTCCAATCTTAAATTGAAGACGACATACTTAAATATATTAAAATTCTTGACAGAAAACTTTATTTCGAAAAATACAGATTTGTTCTTCCCGTTTAAACTAAAGCTATTTTAAAATGTTCTGAGCTTTGTGTTAGCTTTTCTGAACTATTTTTTTCATAAACATTATATATTTTAACACTACACATCATAAACACTACACATTTATGTGGATAGGTTGACTAATTTACTTAATGAACGATTAAAATAGATAAGTAACTAGATTGTTTTCGAAAATTCATTTTAAAACTGAAAATTTTTTAGTATCATGTGTTTCTTATATTTTTGTTTTCTTGCAGTCAGAATTCTTTTTTCATTGTTATAAAAGTTTACAATGCACGTGAAGTGTGCAATAAGTTTACTGTTCATGATATTTGCGTAATAGACAAGAGTTAAAAACTCCAATAAGTTTGCGTTTTAAGTCACTTGGTTTTACTTCTTTGATTATATACATTGGGGGTACTGCCCACTTTATCCTTATTTAATTACCTTTTAAAATCACTAAAAAGAGAAGTTCATGGTTTAATATAGCAGGAATAGATTCAACCGAAAAATCATTAATAAACGAAAACTTCTAAACAAAAACTAGATTGCATGTTGAAACTAATTTACGAAGTAAAAAAATACATTGTGACACATTAAGTCACCATATTGTCGGTGAGTTTTTTATTACAGATTTAGCTCAAAATGCGAGTTTAAGAAACTGGATTTAGCTCAAATTTGGACATAGCTCATTTTCAAGCTTTGCTTATTTTCTTAAATGCGCATTTTGAACCACATCCTGCTTTCTGAAATACGTATTTCAAGCTATTTCCCGATTCTTAAATGCGCATTTCATGCTGTTTCGAATTTCTTAAATACGCATTTCTATCTGCGACCAATTTCTTAAATACGCAATTCAAGCTATGTCCAATTTTCCGCTCTTTGTCCAAAATAAAAAAGCTCAACGACGTTATCTTTTTGAGGAAAAGTATCTCATATTTGGCGACTTTATCTTCTAAGGCGTAGATCTTTCAAAGTACTATATATTCCCTTTCTAGTACATAAAATATCGCAAATAGCTCTCAGGAAAATTACAAGAGGAGGTGCACAAAACCAAACTTGAATCAATGAGTCCGAAAAAGAAGTCTTTCCACAGAAAAATCTGCCACAGATGACCTGCTTTCGAATTCATAATTTCAATTAAAATAAGCATTAAATGGAAGAAAAAAAATAATGAAACAAGTTGATGTTATTGAAATTTTTACACGAGAATCGAGTCGAGACATTTTTACACAAGAGTCGAGTCCAAACAAACTTTAGTTTGTTTGGACTCGACTCGACTCTCGTCTTTAGTTTGTTTGGACTTAATAGTGAGAAATTAAAAGAAATAAAGTTTAAAGGTTAAACAGGATAACTTCTGACGCACTCCTTAACAAAGCTACACGAATTCCGATAAAATTGTTGTTTGATGGAAATAAAAGGTTCGAACTCCCCTCCCTTCCCACCCCCCTATCACGGACGTTCTCTATTCAGAAAAACACTTGCTGACCAATTATCATGTAGTGGGCGTACGCAGAGTATTGTGAAATGATTTCCTTCTTGACGTCCGCTTGAAAAAAGGTTCACTGAAAAAAAACTGTAGCAATTGATACATGAAAGGTTAAGGCTATGAAGCTTTTTCTAAACCCCCGATGGCTACTTATTCTAATGCTAATTATTCTATGCTTCTCATCCGCGTAAGTACTATTTTGTGCCTTATAGTGTTTTAAATTTTTTTTTCCAGGGTCGTGCTTAGAAGGGGGAGGGGCTAATTGATCGCTCAAGGCCATTAAAAATCAGTATAATCCACAAGTTCGTTCAAGTTGATCAAATTTTGTAATCGGAACCACTTTATATTGTTACATTACTTTGTTACATTACAATTTATTTTAAAATCGTAATTATGTATTGAATTACATAAATATAAGTTCGTATTATTTTTTTTCAATAAATGTTAATATGTTTTTCCATTGTTATTTATTAATAATCCTTTTTTGTAATTGTACTTTGCCTTATTTTCTCTTTCAAAACTGCGGCATATTATGTAGCAAGAAATTTGACAATAAAACTTCGGCGTTAAAGTTTATAAATGAGACAGTCAATCCACACTTTATCAAATACTTTTTCCACGTCTAGGAGAATGGCGTCAGTATGCTTTCTATTTTGGAATCCCTTGTATTTCTGAGAAGTTGGTGGCAGGTTGAAACCCGAATTGCTGAGCGAGTGATGATATTATCAGTATTGCGGTGATTTCTTCGACGATTTTATTTCGAAAGAAATTTGAAAATAAAAACTCGGCGTATTTGGTAGCAAGAAATTTGAAAATAAAACTTTAGCGTATTTTGTAGCAAAAAAATTCATAATACAGTTCGTCTAGGACTATTGAAACCTTGAGTACAACTCTGATTCTTTCTTATGTCTTTTTCGTGTGGTTTTGTTTCATTGAATAAGCATTGTATGTAATTACACAGTACCACAAGAAATAAAAGCATCAATTTTTAATGCCTGTTTCATACGAGGAGGGCGAGTGTATGACACCTTGATCGTAATAATTTTGGATGTACACAAAATGCCCAATTTCAAAAGCTATAGTTAATTATAGTTTCGCAGAGATACGGTTATAAATAGTTTTCTTAGGCTATGTTGATGAAATATAATTAGGTATTTCTTTGAATTTACTTAAATATTATTTTGAACATTTCACTACTTATGTATAGAATAGAAATATATCTAACACGAAGAAAATAATAATCGTTAGTTCAAACAAATAAGCAAACAGTCTATATTTTGATCGGAAAATGGTTCTTTAAACATACTTAAATTTTCTCAAAACATTTTATGTTTTTTCATGATCAAATTATTTGTAGTTAAATTCATAAAAAATAAGCAATGAAATTTATAATTCTGTGATCAATTACTGGAGGAAAAACATTGCTGTCAAAAAGCCAAACATGGATATGAAGATAGCGTGTTTTTAAGTTGGAAATAAACTTATTTTATGGAGTGTGAGTAAACAAAACTGCACGCCGATGATTGATCTTGAACAGAAATAAATCGGATAATAGGATAACAGGAAAATTCTAAATTTCCCAGTACGGTAAAAACGGATTATTTGAAAATGTTAAAGTAGCCGCAACTGGCTTAGTATTTTTTTAGTTAGAGAATTATATACTGAAATGTGTATTTTTCACGAAAAAAAATTTTTTTGTTTGGATTTCCATCTATTGTTATTATTTTTTATATTTTCGATTAGAGAAAAGCTATTTTAAATAGCTATATACAACTTATGAAACTACTAAATAATTCTGAAGTTCTAAAAAGAATAAATAAATAACGAAACATACGTGAATACAATGAATGAATTAATTCAAACTGATATTAAAAATTTTGTATAATACTTGATCTAATGATTGATCAAATCTGAAATATCTTCATTTAAAAAAAATAAGAGGTGTTTAGTAATTTTAAATTTGAATTTTAAAAAAAAACTTATAATAGATATAATTATCTGGGGCTATATGATAACCCCCAACTCCTCATATTACCATAATAATAATATTGTTATGATAATATGATATTAAATTGTTCAAACGAATATTTATAAGAACGTAAAAGATTACGATTAAGATGTCTCAATGTATTGTGCTACTATCGTACAGAAATTCTGAAAACTTGATTAGTACTTATATGGAAACAATCCTTTGGAAACATTTTGGTGTAAAAATTTTGCTCGTGGCAAAAAACGGGGCCTATAACTATTATCCCAAGCCTTTCAGAATGATCCACAACCTTTAAAAATGCATGATGCGTTGTATTTTTAATTGTAAAGCGAACAACTGCACTTTATGCAATTGGCAGACTTTATTTTTTTTAAACATTGTATTTTACAACAAGAAAAAGAATGAGTTTTTTTTTAAATGTAAATGAATCTATTATTAAACTTTAAACTTAAGCATCTATTTTGAACAAATTTCTACGCCTTGTTTCAGTTGAAAGTTGTGCAACATATGAGAACTTACTTTGAAAAGTGGAAAATGTAACTATAGATTTCGTCCATTCTTAAACATTCAAAGGCAGCAAAATTTTTGTGGTGTTATTTACCCGATAGAAATTTATCTCAAAATCAGGGTTACTGCTCCTAAAATAGGAAAGAAAACAAGTCTTATCATTTGAGTTTTATCGTATGCTAAAATTTGCAACAAAACTTTTCAAAGAGAAATTAGTCATGTTTGAGAAATAAATATTATGATTTTTTAAAAAAGAAGGTCTCTTCTGTATAAAATCTTGTATTTCTTGGAGGAATAGTCATCGGAATAACTGGTTATGATAAAATTACCAAATTTTATCACATTATAAACCATATAATATTGTTATTTATACCAAAATCAGTACCAAAACTCTTCGTTGAAAATTATCGAGCTTTTTTGGCGCTCCAATAGAGCCAGAAACAGGGTAAAATTTTAACATATTCTGATAACTTTGACCATACCCTTTTTTATCTCGTCTTTATTTTAAACTAACAAATATTTAATAAAGCTTTCTGGAATATGGTAGAAATTTCACATTAGTTAGTAGATTTTAATAAGAATTAGAGTAAAAGATTTTAAGAGCTTTTGTAGTTGAACATATTAAATGCCGACCCTACAGCTCTAGCACATATTGAACATATAAAACATTCCATAATCAATGTAATTCTAGAATTTTTGCTGGAAAAATAGAAAATCCATAAAAGTTGTAATAAATTTCTATTCAAGCTACAAATTTATTAAAATCTGGTGAATTACAGGAAGACAAGATTAAAAACTTCAAAACCTGTTCAATTGCTGAGAGAAAGGTAGAAGAAAGATAAGATGATGACAAAGTTTTATAAGTTTCTTAGGACTGACAAGCTGATTTTGATGCTTTTTAATCTTTTCTTAATTGTAGTTAATCAGATTCAGATAGCATTAATTTCTTGATAGACATTTAAAAAAAAAAAAAAAACCAAACTGAGGGTGGTGATTACTGAACACTTAGTAAAAATTAATTGTGTTGCGAATGAAACGGGAAAACTTACTTAATTTCGAATTTCTGCCATGATTTTGTAGGTACGAAAAGTAACATAAGAATTTTAACCATTTGGTAGAATCAAAAATAGTTTTATATTCCGAAATACTAAGCAAAACAATATGAAAAATAAAAAAAAAGAAGCTATTTTATAAATTACTTGGTCAGGACTTTTTCGTGTTATAAAATACTCATTACTACTCATGCAGCATTTTCTTACTTTAATATCATATTACTAGCTTAATATAAACACAAGTGCCGACCAGATAGCCGAATGGTTAGTGTGCCTGATGGCGGAGCCGATGGTTGCGAGTTCGAATACCGCTCAGTGCATAGATGTTTCTTTCTCTCTCTTGTGTTCTATGTCCTTTCTTCTGTGTGAATGTAACCCACCCTATAAACGGTTTTGTGGTTGTATGACGTGGGCGACGCTACTCCGCCGCCGTGGCTTAGCCATAGATGATCACTGGGTAACAATAAGAGAGTAGCAATTCTGGCATTTCTGAGGCCAATGGGAAATAGTCCCAAGTGCCCGCTACTAACCAAAAAAAAAAATATCAACACAATTCTACTTATAAAGAACTTCACGCTATGAATTCTCATGTTTAAACTAAATAAATATGTTCACCTACGTTCATAATTTACATTTGTTTAAAAGTTGTTGGAATAAAAAGTAAATGCAAAATAAGGGTAAAGCAAATTACTTAATTTATTTATCCATTTAAAAAAAAAGGCAGCTTTCATCATAGCCTCGCTAACCACCGTTAAAATGATGTGGCTGTTTTTGACGTGAGCATAGAAATTTCAATGTCGCTTCGTGTTTCTGAAACAACTGGAATACCAGTTTTAATCAACAGCTAATTTAAAGTTAAGGTGTTTTATCGCCATCCATGGATCTTACCTCTTCAATATGATTCTTTGATTCGTTTAAATAGGTAGTTAAATAGGAACCCCAAAAATATTTTTGTATCTTGTTGAACTACATCATCCAATTTCAAGTAGTTCGATATGAAAATGAAAAATGCCATAGAATGACATTATTTAAGATGGCAACTAGCAGTTTAAAATTTGTATAATGCTTTTGAAAAGCTTAAATGGTTTCGTTAGTCTGTTTTATGTTTCATTGGAAACGATAGTATATTGCAATAAAGAGAAAAATGCTAATCAAACAGCATAAAATTGAAAACGTGAACATGTTTGACAGATGAGAATTTGGAGGTTATTTTATGATTATTTCGAGAATAGCAAGTGCAAATATTTCAAGTAATATAAAATGTTTAATTAAGTAAAAACAATGTCTATCTTCATATAAGTTAGGAATTATATTAAATTAAAAATTTATTTTTTTGAAGATTTGTTTTTAACTGAATAAACACATTTTTTCTGTTTCAAAAGATAACGAATGTTGACAAAATAATTTGGTTTTACTTTAATTTTGTTTCAATTTTTAATGTACTAACATAATCACAAGTCTCAGAAATTTCAACTAAAATTAGTTATCTAACTCTGGCTAATGAATATTTTTACGATATAATATTAAAAGTACAGATCGTGGGATTTCCCAAATTTATTGACATTCTGGCTCAAAAGGTGAAGATCTCTAGTTTCAATTGATCCATAGATTTGGTGAAATGCGTATACTTAAAATTTAAGTCGTATATTTAAAATTTAATTTCACAAAAACTAGTATGCCAATTGTGCTCAAATGTTGTATTTTGTCATTTGAAATTACATTCCTTAAAATAATGTAAAAATTTATATACCTAAGAAATTATATTGAGAATAAAATATGGACAAAACTAACAGAGTATGATAAAATGTACCGAACTTTTGGCTTTTGGAGAACATCAAAAAGCTCGAGTTCTTACCGAAGCGCTTTGGTAAAATTTAGAACAAAATAGGGTTTTAAAATATGTGATAAAATATGGTAAAATTTGATAATTTTATCATGATACCATAGAGCGTGATATAAAAATTATTTATTCTATATAATTTACTTTTCGGTTTTGTATATTTTACTAAATGTGTGGTAATAAGATGTATAATTTTGAAAACCTGAATTTCTGATGAACTATTACCACCAAAAGAGAAAAAATACCAAATGAATGATGTAAATAATGCATATTTTAGTTTTATTAAACTGATAGTTTTTTTTTTCTTACCAGAAAGGTTCATCCAGTAAGGTAATTTTACAAGATTTTTTTTCTCCTGCACATTTTGTTTCGGTAATAAAATAACCAAAACGTGTAAATAATATTTAAAAAATTTTTTTTGCTTCAGACAATCATTGGAAAAGCGAATTTAATAGCCGTGTGGTAAAAAAATTTCGATTCTCTTAAAAAATTTTGGGGCTGTTCTCCATGTTTTGAAGGTCAAAAATCAGAATCCGAAGGGGAAAAAAATCGTGTTTATACAGAAGAACTATTTTATGATACTGAAGTTTTAAGTAAGATAATTTTGTTAATATGTTGCTCATAAGGATATGAATGAAAACCTAGGTCTGAGAAATGTTCAATTGTATTTAAAAAAAAATTAGGAATACTGATTGTGAAGTAGAAATGAATAAGTAGTAATTTTACTCGTAATATTACTTCTCGACTTATATTATTATAACAGTTCAGATTGGAAAAGTTTTTTTTATATATTTAAAAATTTCCTTATAAATATGAAGATTATATTATCAACATCTGATCCATAGGATTAAAATAAAGATTTCCAGCGAGATAACTAAATTTTTTCACAGCAATGGATAATCGTCATTATTTAGAACAAAAAAGTTGAGAAAAATGCAATTTTGAAGAAGAAAAAAAAAATCGCGTCAAATTCATACATTTTCACCTTGTAATGCACGCCAACAGGCTGCAAAGCGGCAGACACGGCATTTTTTTCTACGTGTTTAACAGTTAATAATTTGTTTATTCATTTCCTCCTATTTTTTCTTTGTTTTTTTACGCACAGTTAAATTTCAAGCTTCTAGGTTTCATAGCTTCTGCGCAACGAAATGAAATGTAACCTAAAATTCAACGTATAAAACAGATGCGACATTTTTCCTCATTTCTTTTTAAATAGAGAGATAACAAATGAAACAGCAATTTGAAAACTTTAAGTTATATTTTATCTGAAATCAACATTTTTAAAACAATCACTTTTCTAAGCTTCTTCTAAGTTTCACTTTTCTAAGCTTTTATATTTCGATTTTTTAGCTCTAGTCAATATAGATTGCGTAGTTCTGAATTAATCTGAATTAATTGGATGAACATTCTAGACACTTCGTTATTTCTAGAATAACTCCAAGCAGAAAGTCGAAGTATTCGTTCCTTTATATATATACCTACAAAAAATATCGTAGATACGTGTCCTGTGATAAATATCGAGATTGATTAATAATGATAATATCGTGTTCGCTGTTGACAAAGACAATTATTAAATAAAATAATACCATTATTATTGTCCTCTGATATCTTAAAGGATAATAGATAACACGATATCGCAATAGTTAGTAACGACGATTATCGTGAGTGTCGAATCAATGACTCCTAAATTTATTGATATAAACCTATTGGTATTGGTTTTTAAGATACGCATGATGAACCAAAATACACTCTATAACAAAAAAATCGACGCACCAAGAAGGAGTTGTCCGATTGAAACGAAAATTGGTGGATAGGAAGACAATGTACAAAATAGTAAATGATTAAAATTTCAGAACAATTGAATAATTTATTACAGAGTTACAGTAACAAGCTCAATAAGGTGTTGATCCACCTCTACCTTGGATACAAGCTGCCACACGGCGTGGCATAGACCGATAAAGCTCCCGGATGGTCTCTTGCGATATTTCCTGAAAAATTCGATCCAATTGTCGAACGAGGTCAACATTCCGTGCCAGATGCAATCGCCTTCTCATCATATCCCAGACATGCTCGAAGGGAGAGAGATCTGGTGATCTGCCAGGCCAAGGAAGAGTTTGACACGTTTGCAGACAGTTCATAGCAATACGTGCTATATGTAGTCTGCCATTGCCCTGCTGAAAAACCAGTCCAAGGCGCTGCAAAAGGAGCAGTAGCAAAACAGGTTTTAAGATGTCGTCGACGTACCGCTGTGCAGTAAGTGTACCTCTAATGACGACCAAAGGGGTCCGGCTGTCAAAGGAAATGGCACCCCAGACTATAATACCTTGTTGAGGGCCGGTGTGGCGTGCTATAGTGAAGGCAGAATCCCCCCCTCTGCCCTGTGCTTCTCTAAACATGTCTTCGATGATCGTCAGGACATAGTTGGAGGCGGGATTCGTCGCTAAAGACTATACGTCCCCAGTCGGCATCATTCCAGCCTGATCGAGCCATGCACCACTGTAATCTGGCTCGTCAGTGTGCAGGCGTGAGTGGTAGGTGACGTAACGGTCGCCGCTAGCGTAGATTTCGCTCTCTCAACCGTCTGTGAATGGTCATGGTGGACACTGGCGTTTGAGTTGAACGTCTGATGGTTGATAGAGATGAAGAAGGCGCTATGACAGCTGCTCGGACAATCACTCTGTCCTCACGCTCTGTTGTAGCCCTTGGTCGACCGCTACCATCCTGACGCTGAACTTTGCAATTTTCCACCCATCCTTGCCAGCATCTTCGAATCGCCGCATCGCTTCGACTCAAATGACGAGCGATTCTCAGATTTATCCAACCGGCCTCTTTCAATCTAATGATACGACCTCTGCCAAACTCTGAAAGTTACTCATAATGAGCGCGAATCCTGCAGCGAGGCATTTTTTAAGTCGTTGAAAGGTAATCTGAATCGCAATCAAACCGAAAGTTTTAACAACCGTTAAAGAACTGCTCCTTATTACGTCTCCTGGATGCGCAGTTCCGGTGCGCCAGAGATCAAACTATTCGTTCATTAGACACCAAATTTTAATCATTTGCATATCTGTTCAAAACATTCATGCATACGAAAATTCAAAGCAATCGGATGATTGCTTCTTGGTGCGTCGATTTTTTTGTTATAGAGTGTACTTATTAAATGTTTTTTTTCAATGGGGTAATAATAAAATTTTCCAAAGGAAAAAAAATGCAATTTACTTAAATGAAGAAATTTCATTATATATTGTGAAATATTAGTACTTTCTGTTAGTATAAAGCACTATATCGAAGTTCTGTCTTTGGAAAGCATTATTTAATGAACGTAAAAGGGAAGAATTAAACATTTTTTACAAATACATTTCTCTTTTATTGGTATTAAAAAATATCTTCAAACATTTTAGCATACTTAAACAACTATATTTTCGACCAAAAAATATTATTAATCTGAAAACGTAGTATTATATGCCAAAAAAGAAAAAGAATGATAAGGATACTAGAAAATGCTATAAACACGCTACAGTAATTTTATTAAAAAATTTGTGCTTTTAATTATTTTCACTCTCTCTTTCTATAAATAATTTGAAATTAGTATATTAGTAATATAAAAGAGATAGTACTGCCTTTGTTGCAACACTGAAACAAAAGTATGGTAAAAACTACAAATATATATATAAACAAATCAGTTTTTGTCATAGCAATTAATTGACACGAAATTGAGTACATGCTTAAATTTTAAGAAAACTAATTTAAAAGATATTTTCGTATTTAGAAATATTCTGGTACATTGAAGCTCATTAGTTGATATCTTTCTTCATTCTTTTTTAACTTTTCTACGTCTTTTTTTAATGATACGTGTTAAAACTGACAACCTGATCCGCGTAGTATTGTTTACACAATGAGTGTGAAGATATCAGATCAACTTTAATGATACCATCAATTACAGTTAAGTATGTGAGTAAGCAGTCTCTCTGCCACCACCGATGACTGCATGTATGAGTTCAAACCATACATCTACATTAACTCCTTATTTTTATATTGTTTTACGTGATTGTAAGGTTGATTGCTGTTGTTAACAATAGACATCGATCATTCCGTTTCAGACTGAGAAATATCGAAGGTTTTAAAAATAATTTGTCCACCCAATCGATATGTAGCTTTAAACATATTTTTATATGGTGCATGAACAAACCTACTTAAAACAATTACTTTATTTAATAAGCATATAATATTTCTTGTAATGAGACAGATCTATGGATATTCTCATTAATGTGCACGCTTTTTCTATCAACAGCTATGGCAGAAGAGGAGGTGGTGGCAGAGGAGGTGGTGGTCGAGGTAGTTCGTCCAGAGGCAGTTCATCAAGAGGTAGCTCATCCAGGGGATCAAGCAGCGGGAGTAACACAAGTCGAGGCACAACTTATGACAGAAGTCGAGACAGAGGTTCTAGCAGTGATAGCAATCGTAGTCCGCCGGCTCCTGCTCCCAAACCAGAACCTCTTAAACCAAAAGCGTCTGTCAGACCTTATGTACCCTCTCCTGCACCAGCACCTAAACCTTCAGCGCCAGAAATGCGGCAACCAGCTCAAAATCCTAACTTTAAAGAAAATCCTAGTCAACCAGCATATAACCCAAATTTTAAAGAACAAAGTCCGAACCAGCCAGCCAATAATCCTAACTTTAGAGGACAAAATGCACCTGGGAATCAGCAACCTCCACCATATTCTCCCAGAGAAAATCCTCCAGGGTATTCGCCTGTCGGTCACCAACCACCACATTCACCAGGTGTTGCACCACCTCCTTATTCAGCGGGTGGTCATCAACCAGCATATGCTCCCGGTGGTGTTGCACCACCCCCATACAGTGCTCAAGGCCCTTCTTATAATCCGAACATGGGTAAATGTTCCTTTCGTTTATTTATAACAGATTGATTCTCATGCAATACCTAAATAATTTTCGACAAATCTCGGTGAATTTTTCTACCAATAAATTTTTATACTAAATTACTAAAAACTAAAATAGATTTACATTTTATATTTATTAAGCCTAAAAAGTTAGATAATAAATAACACTGACGCAAATAAAAACATCATCCAGATTTTATTTATGTACTCAATCAGAGAACAAAAAGTCTTGGAAAATAGAATATTGACCGTTAAATGATGGAAATGCATTATTGATCGATAGGTGATTAAAAATTTAAGTGCCACTTCATATGATGAAACTTTATAAGTTATGAAAGTCGTGCATCTTTATTGAAAGACTTGAAAGGAAAATTTGAGTGGTATCAATATCAAACTCAGGTGCGTTAAATCGTGTATACTGATCAGGATTTTAATATTTTGAGAAAATGCTTTGCAAATAGTTTTACTAAGTGATCAGAGAACATGATTTGTCCCAGCTTATTATACGTATACTAAGTATTCAAGCACTAACAAACAATAGGATCCACTAGTAACATGGTTCTGTTTCATTTCGATAACCTTTGGTTTCTGGGTAAAACCGGTTATGGTGACTTAGGACCAGATGATACCCTCACTTTATAAAAGCGATTTAGAATATCAGGAAAACGAAAAGAGAAAAGGAGATTTAAAAAACAAATCTGTTATCAAGGAAGAGAAAATTGTTTTACAGTAACTTAAGAAAAAAAGGAAAACCTCAAAAACAAAAAGGACAGTAAGACCCATATAGCAAAATAGTTTTTATCAACAAAAAAAAACTTAAATCTTCGATTAATGTTTTTTACGATGAAGACGATAGAAACAAATCAGATACTGTTTGTTTATATCGTAACAAACGTATAACGTAATCATATTTTATAACGTAATCATATTTTCTGAGTGAAGAGAAATGTGGATAGAATATGGAAAGTGTTTTTCTAGGTCCAGGGAAAGCTGCGGCGAAGCGGTAGAAGATAATTACTGCATCATATGAGAATTGAGTACATAATATCCTTAAAATGTCATTCAGAGTAAAAAATATCTGTTATTTTTTCATTGAAATTCTAGTTCTTCCTTAATTTTCTATAAAGTTTACATATGTACCCGGTCATACCCCACACCAATTGGTGTAAGTTCGGATGATTTAGCTTTTTTAAGAAAAAAAAATTTATGAAAGAGAATAAAACAATGAAGAAATTGGTTAAATCTGGTAGTTTCTGAGGCGAATACTTTATCTACAACAGCCCTTCGAATCATAGTTACCTGGTCTACAAATCGAAGCAGTTTTGAAACAATTTTTATGACTAAAAATCTGACTGATGAATTGAAAGGAGATTGAATGGAGACTGAAAGGGATACTTAGGATTGATGGGAGGCATTATAAAGTTTATAACTTTGTGTGACGCTCTTGAGGTAAAATATTGTATAGGAAAAATTGAGTTATAATGCTAATAACTGCAAAAACTGCTTTACTTAATCTTTGCCTACATGATTTAATCTACTCCAACAGATATATATATATGTTCGTTTTAACTAATTTGACTTTAAGGGGCCGTTCAAAAAGTACGTATATAAAAATGGAGAAATTTTAACCCCTCCCCCCCCTTCGTACATAACAGTACACAGCGTCTTACTCTTCCCCCCCTAGAGTACGTACATTTTATTAGTCTTCCCCCTTTTTCATAAAAATTAAAATAATTATGTTTTAAATAAAATTAAATATTTATTTCATATAATTTATTAATTTAAATTATTTAAACAATAACACCCAACTTTATGTACGTACNTTAATGTACGTACTTTGTATAATCCCTCCCCCCCTCCCCATCATACAAAACCGTACAAAATAGCAAATCGTCTCCCCCCCTTCGGGATGTACGTACTTTTTGAACGGCCCCTAAAAAACTTTTTTTTTAAATAAGATATTTCATAGGTTCAAAATTATGACTCTTTTTATANCCCCCCTCCCCATCGTACAAAACAGTACAAAATAGCAAATCCCCTCCCCCCCCCTTCGGGATGTACGTACTTTTTGAATGGCCCCTTAAAAACTTTTTTTTTAAATAAGATATTTCATAGGTTCAAAATTATGACTCTTTTTATATTCTAGGAGTTCCCAACGCTAATTACCCGAGACAACCAGGGTCACAAGGTATACCGAATGCAAACTACCCTAGGCAGCCGGGATACCCGTCCGCTCCTGGAGGACCAAATTATCCATCTCAAGGTGGTATACCTGGAGCCAATTATCCTAGACAACCAGGAGGTATACCTGGAGCCAATTATCCTAGACAGCCTCCAGTTGCTCCAAATACTTTGGGAGGACGTGTTTGGCATCCCCAGTCTGGAATGCCAGCTCCAGCTTATATGAACTATGGAGGATTGCCAACAGGTTCTAACATGTACCAAAAGCCTCTAAAGAAGCAAGGATTTCTGGGCTCTCTTATGTCTATGGGCCCATCTCACAAAATGGGAAAAACACCAAAATATTATGGATCCTATCCGAGTCCTTATGGCGGAGGAGGTTTTGGCGGTTTCGGAAAACATGGTGGTGGTTTTTCTGGGAAATCTGCAGCTATGTATACAATATTGCCTTACATGGCAGCAAGGCAGACTAAAAGTATGTTTAGGCCTAGATTTGGTTTTATGCCAATATTTTTACCTAGTCCTTTTCATCATCATCATTATCATGGCTATGGATATGGTTATGATGGATATCATAATCATCATTATTATGATGTTTATAACAATCAGTATGGTAAGTGTAATCCAAAATTTCATACAATTTTTAATACCTCATTTACGTAGTCCAAAATATTTATTTCTCGCTATACATAAAAATAATAAATCAAAATCACACGTAGCTAATGAGAACAGTTATTTTCTTTATCCTGTCATGATTTTGTCGAACAGTGTGTAATTAGGATTATTTTTTTAATTATCATTAATATTTAGTAAAAATAAGTATAAAATATACATATATAGTTGAAAAGTAATTCATGCAAAGTAATTTATGTGTATAAAAATAATGTATTATTGTGGGTGTATTGATGTTTGAAGTTAGCATTCTCACAGCGTTTAATCCAGATAATGAGGTAATGATGTAACAAAAAATTGTAGAAATTGCTGTCGGTATGAGAAGGAGATAAAGCTTAGTAAGTAGTTAAAACTCATTTAAAGCAATATCAGCAATGATTACATTTTATTGCTTATTTATTTGCATTGTAAAATGTAACTTTAGTGTAAAATATAATTTTTAGGATTATTGATATATCGTGTTTTATTAAGATCTTTCACATTACTGTTTCAGCCGGAAAATGCAACCGTCCACTCACACCCAAGTACTCCAATATCTCATGCAACTCCACAAATAGAGAGATGTAAGTATTTTTTTTTTTTATATTAGGATATTGAATCTCTTTTTGCGTATCGCTTAAATTAGGACAGACATAGTGACTTTATAGTTTAGTCTAACAATGTGTCCAGAAAACTAACCATGACCGAGTTTCGAACCTGCGGTTGTCGGTGTTAGAAGCAGGCGCCATATACGTTGAGCTATTCAGAGGTCACAATAAAAGGGTCACATCGACAATCACTTCATTGACAGGCCAATCCATCGACACCACTTCAGCGACAGGCCATTTCGTCGACAGGACCATTTCGTCGACAGGCCATTTCGTCGTTAGGCCATTTCGTTGACATGGTCATTTCATCGACAGGGTCATTTCGTCGACATGGTCATTTCATCGACAGGGTCATTTTATCGAGAATGTTTAATAGTTTAATTTAAATTTTATTCTATGTGTTCCCCAAACATTTATAAGTTCTTTTACCTTATAAAATAGACATCGTTAATGTAAAAAAAAAGAAAAAAAAACTCAAAATGACTCCCCATCCTTGGTATGCGATGCAGTCGAAATGATCGTGTAAAATATAGTTAGCCTTTTAGTTTACTGAAAGAATTTTATGATATGAATGGCAATTTGATAAAGTTGAAAAAAAATTGCAAAAAAATTAAAATATCTCTACGTGTTCGGAAATATGGTTTTTAAAATAGCATATATAGCTTTTATTTTTAAAAACATAGTTTGATTGCTATTTTTAATGGAACTTAACTTGGATATAATGAAACAAAATCGAGGATTTCGCCAATTTTTCTCTTTTTTTATTAGAATAATAGACTCTTCGTTATTTTAATGTTTGTCATATGTTTGTATAATTATTAACTAAAATTATAAACTTCCTTTTTTCATAATTGTTTTTCCAAACATGAGCAAGCTGTATCAAACCTCCCTAATTCAGTGTGGTTTGATCGACGGGAATCTTAAGAGGTTTTTGAAATTATTGAACAATAATTAAATAAAATGTCTTTTTTTTTTAGTGTGTTTTAACTTGTTGTGAGGATGGCTGGAAAATAAAAAAGAGAGATTTTAGAACACATGCAACTAAAATTAAGTTGTTAAAAAAATTATTGCGTGCAATTATTGTGTTGTAAAAAATCTCAAAAACCTACTGATGAAAAATAACAAATCTGATCTGAAATTTTTAAATGAATGTAATTTGCATTCATAACTAAACCATATGAAGACAAATATCTATTACTTGCTTTTTTGTTTGCTTATGGGGTTTTCTTCTTAATATTGTATGAAATCTTCTTTGATCTTTTCATGTTGGGCCTTTTCTCGCTTTTCTTTTTTACCAAGATATCTGTTAAAATCCTTGATTTGGTACGATATGTCAAAACTTTCTAAAAAGCTATTTCGACAAAAATTATATTATTCGTGATTTCTCATTGAATTTTATTTGCAAATGGCTTATAGAATAAAATAATACTTATGCTGTTATCAGGTGCTCACTGGCTAAATGTTTAAGAAATAAGTAAAACAAAAGTGGGATGATCATATGATCGAGCCTTCCATGTTTCTTTTTATGTTTGTTTACAAGGCATGCCATACATGTTGAAATGTATGACTCATTTTGCACTGGTGCTATGTTATGTGTATCTAAAATAATAATAAGAAGAAGAAAATACTGAAAAAGTTCCTTCTATTTTAGAATCTAAGTTATATAGTTACTTCTAAAATTAAATTAATTTCTTGTTTTCAATCAATTTTAAATTAAAGAAACTGTTACGTACATCAAAAACTTGCTTTTGCATTGAAGATCAGAACTATCTTTGTTAGCTTTGTAACATTTTTTTAAATGAATTCATTAATTTATTTATTGGAATTTCAATTCTTATTTATTTATTTATTTTTAGAAACTGTGAAGCGAAATGCCAAGAAGGATATCGCTTTCTAGAAAACACAACATCCAAGGAGAACAAATGCTGGCATGTGACTGGAGTTTGGCGACCAACAAAGAACTTCCCTGATTGCCAACGTATGTATGAAAGCGGCAGAAATGAATATTATGTTGTTAATCCACTTGGAACGGATCATGACCATTTAATGCTCATAAAGTCTTAGTTAGAATGAGGTTCAAATGGTTTCTCAATTTATTCTGATTTGGAAAAGGTTACATTTCTGTTCAGACGAAAAGATCCTCAGAAGTTCTGTAATAATAGGTATTTTGTAGCATCAAAACGGATAAGAACTGAAAGGATCCTCTAAATAAGGGTGGAAATGAGTTACTGAATATATGTTAAAAACTATTCACTGATTCAATGCTGAGTTCAAATGGGACTTTGATCTTCATACTGTTAATTCAATTTATTACCCGCATAATGCTTAATTTGATTTTATTTTTTATAGGCATTTCAGTGCTACTTGGAAAGTACATTTGAAGCAAAAATATTCGTAGAATTTCAGAATTTTCACAATTTCAAAACCCCCACATTTTTTATTCCATAAGTAAAAGCGCAATACTTTAAAAGAGAATCATAGCAACATAGTTGGAAAAAATTAAGTTAGTATTCCAAGGGTTGAAACAAAATTAAACACGAATTCACGAACAATGTGAATCAGCATATGAAGTATAAAAATAGGTTATTCTGAAAATTTAATATACATCATTGCAAATTTGGGAAGCAAAACAAAGACAGAATCAAAGTATTTCAAGTTTGACAGGTCTGTTAATCATTATAACTATCTAAATATCTGTATATCAATATATCATTAAAACTAAAGCATAGCCAATTTTTGTTAGGAAACCTGGCGTATCCCTAGTTTTAAAAACAATAACATTAGTATTAAGTCCACTTAAACACGCGTGTAAATATTGCACTAATCTTATTCAAAATCAAGCCTCGTTCCTGCTTATCTTTTCGTCTCTTCTTCGTCTCTTCTTATAGTTTCAATAATCTAATAGGTGTAATACTTTTATGTACAACGAAGGCTTTAATTTAAATAAATAAAATGAGGAGTAATCAATTCGATTCATGATTTTTATTGAGTTCGCTAAACGAGATAAACAATAATCTTATTTTTATTAACTTTGCAGTCCTTTACAACTTTAACTAAACTCATTAATAAATTGTTTTGTTATTCTTTAAACATTGTTTAAAAATTAGTCAGCTCAATAGTAAAAATTATATTAATTATTTTTGTTTTCATTACTAGCTGTTTGTAATCAGACATGTTTGAATGGAGGAAGCTGCACCAGTCCAGATGTATGCGGATGCCCACCTGAATACAGAGGACCCCGATGTGAACATCGTAAGGACTATTTCATTCTACAATATATTAGTCATAAGAACGTTTAATACAACACATACAATGTTAAAAAAATTTACGTTCAGTATAAATTTTGACCTAATTTTAATCGGATTTTTAAGCAATTAAGAAGCAATGGTTTAAAGAGGCCTTCTAAGATATTTCAATCAATTAGCGCAGAGAATAATTTTTGTTATGAAATCCAACATAAAAGCGCATTTTCCTAGAACAAGGATTTTTTCTCTCTCCAAAGAATTTGTATTTTTTTTTCAAGGTACAGGGTTTGTCCTGAAAAAGAGTGTAACTGATTTTACAGTCAAATGAATGTAGATCGAAATATGCGCTTACCGGTTGGAATTGGTGTTGGTGGCAGGGTGACTTACGTGGTGGTGAAGACTCAGTTTTAGCAGGCGTGGTAGATTTGTGTAATATTTAGAAACCTTTCCCATCTTTTGGTGTACCGCAATAGAAACTTTTCCCATGATAAAGATAGTTTGTGTAGCTTCACGGTAATAAATCTAAGTCATTTCACAATGGCTATGATGAAGACTGCGCTGAAAGGCCATAAACAAGTAACGAACCTGAGACGCAAAGGCCAACCAGTAACGAAAATGAGACGCATATGACTCAACTTTTTAACTCAGTCGATCGTGTTCAAGAGCTGTTGGGTGTTCTTTTAATGATTTTAATGAAACATTCGCTAAGAATTCCAAAAACTGCCATTCACGAAACTGTGGCGAACAATCTGCAGATCAGAAAAGTGTTTAAAGAAAAGTCTTTGCTATTCCACCTTCCTCATGATCCGCTTCCACGCAGATTCAAAGGTGCCAGCGATTTACCAGTCACTCTATAGATCTGCCATTGCTAATCTAGACTTCTTGGCCCCGTGGTTGAAAACTGCCATGAAAAAAACATCAGATCGAAAGCACTTCCACTAAAACTCTAAAGGGTACTCCGAAAAAGGCCTACCTAGTATGACGCTTTTGATGCCAGAAAATGTCTCTGAAAGAATGTATCAAGGATTAAGGAGCCTAATTTAAAAAAATTTTATCTGATGTTTTGATCGTAACTAAAAAATCTCATTAACATTACTTTTCATAAACTCGTTAACATTACCTTTCAGACAAGTCCTACACTTTAGGTTGAAATTATTTATTTCCTAAAGTTATTTTAACTTTTTGCATATTTTGTAATATGCAATCTGAATCTAATTGCGCAAATCAGAGAATCATTGCATTAATAAAACTAGTTTATCTAAAGATAGTCTCTTGTAATATATATTTGTTATTTCTTCTCTAAATATGTAGAGGCGAAAACCTAACCTATCTGTCTATATGCATGCACGCATGGTTGGGTGCATTTTAATAACTCGAGAACGAAAGCACTAATCTGCATATTCTGCTTATAAACAATTTCCACTTTCTGGCATCATGTAGATCACACACAATATTGAAAATACGAAAATCTATTGTGGATACCTATTGTTACTGATTAATCCTTCCTTAATACTTTTACGCATCTTCGCTAATTGGCATGACATTTTTCTTCTTTACGGCTTGCTAACCTAAAAATCCTAGGATATATTTCATCCATCTACATTGAATTGTTTACATGCAATATTGAAAAATCATGTTTTTTTATTGCTTCAGCCATTTGCTTCTGATTTTTGAAACTGAAATATGACTTTGCAGATGTGTTTCATTATCTTATAAAAATATATTTTTATTTCAGTAAATTACTTCAGTAATGAAGAAGTAGACATTTTTTTGAAAAGTTTCACTGTCGTAGCAAATGGTTTACCGTGGTCATTTCAATAATCATACCACCCCTCTGCATATGAATTTGTGTAGAAATGGACTCCTTTGTATAAAATTTGAAAATTAGAATTAGCTGTATGTTAATATATGGGTGATTCTCACGAAAAACGACAACTGACAGTCTTTTGGTTCAAGATATAATACTATACCACTAAAAGAACTTTTCTTTAAAAAAATTCAATAAATAGCATTGCTGTTAGAATTTTAAAGTGACATTGCACTAGCATTGACTGTTTTATATATTTAAGAAATTTAATTGAATTTCAAAATGTCATTTTCCTGGTATGTCACACGCAATATTTCCAATAATAACTAGCTTCAAAACTTCCCATACATTTTCAATATCTAATTTTTTCTATCTTAACCGTTATAAGCATTTCTAGAATATGGTCAGAGGGTATTATTTCCAAAAACTTTGTTGAAAATAATTTTTTCTATCAATAACTTGTCACATGAAAGTCAGTCATTTTCCTGGCCACTTTTGTTTAGTTATTCATAACCAAAATAGATAGCTCCAGCAATCAATATCTTAACTTAAGAGATTGATTAGAATACCATCCTATCAGAACATCTCTTATTGCAGGAATAAAGAACTAAATTTCTGAGTCAAAATGCATTTCAAAACATTTTTCAGGGTGAGTAGGTTTTTATGTTGTTATTTTCCTGTCTTCTTGAAATCATTAATGATATAAACTATATAGATTTACCGGAGTTATTTCAAGAAATTCTGTTGTTTTCTGCGGAAAATAAACGTCTTAGGTCGAAAGGTTAAATTAAAGTTAAATGCTGCAAAATGGCAAATTTTCATTATCCTGGCTGTCATTTTCCTGGCTTGCGAATGCCAGAACATTGACAGTTACCAGAATTTTTTTTAAACAGTATAATGAAAAGAGAGAAAGCAAATATTAACCTAATACCCAGTTTATGTAAGATTGTAATATGCTTGTAAAGATTTTTTTAAATTTAATTATTGATTATTATGCACAAATTTATTCTGTACATATCAACAAAAACATTTTTGATTCTTTCAGCAGTGGATAAAAGAATTAATTTAAACAATCTTATTTAAACTGTGTCAAAATTTCCAAGAATATCATCATTTCAAAAATGTCTGCTTCTTACCCAATATCTTCCAGGCTTTTTGCTTCTACAAAAAAATTCAAGATTAATGAAATTTTGCAAATTTTTCTTATTTTCTTTGTTTTAACAGTTCCTTTGCAATGTATTCAAATTAAGAACCATCTCATTGTGTGTGTTACCCTCTAACTTTTATTATACTTAACTAATTTGTTCAAATTGTTCACAATAATTATTTTTGGAATTTATTTACATAAGAAGTTATTAAGTTAAATTAACTTTATTAACTTCTTATGTAAATAAGTTAAAATTAAAAAGTTAAAATTAACTTTTCAACTTTGTCTTCTTTGAGTTTCTTAAGCCGAGTTACTTTCTGTTAGATTAAAATGACTGTATTCTTAATTTCTAAGCTAATATGTCATTTTCCTGGACTTCTAGTCATTTTCCTAGCATTCAAAATTTGGTGAATTTCTATTTTTTTTTCCTTGAGAAATTGTCAATAAACTACACGGCTGCCTGTAAGATATTAATAAATGTAACTAAATATATATACAAAAAAAAATTGATTATTTTGAAAACCTTAAATGTGAAGAAAATTTTTTCCGAACTGTCACGTTTCCAAAGAATCACCCATATATTAAATTTAGTAGTAGCCCATGTAGATATGTATTTCATTTTAAAAGGAAAGAAATAAACTAATCAAAATAAAATTTGTGTTGTTCTTGAAACAAGTTTAAAAATTTCATCATATTAAAGCAATCTTTAAATAAGATATCGGGACTTCAATAATATAACATGCAATGAATATAATTTTAATTCTGTCACGCTTTTTTTTAAATTTCTCTTTTAAGTGTCATGTACCTTCTACAACTGATGACCTACACAATTATTTATGCAAATGTAAAGGGGGAATTACTCAAAAAGATATTCATTTAAGGGAATTTATATTTAAAAATTCGAGTAACAAATTTGTTCTATGAAGTATATAAAAATATCCTAAGGAGATCAAATTTTATTATTCAACAGAGTAAACTTTACTTAGTGTTCTAAACATAACTGACAATTTGATAAGTGAATTAAAGAAAAATGGATCCTTTCCTTTCTGAAAAGGAATCTATGTATATATTTCCCAAGAAGAACGCAGCACTACAACCGTATTCCTTCCGTTTTACCTTAATTGATTTGGCTTTCCGAGCCCAAATCTGCGGGTTCGATCCCCGGCCAAGACACCGGATTTTCGGGATGCAGAAAATCCTCAGCGACCATGTCGTATGATTATGCGGCATGTTAAATATCCCTGGAGTGCCTTGTTGGCGCTCACTTATTGGAGTGCCTTATGTGCACTTTAGCATCCAAATAGAGTCTCGGTGCTGCCATCTGTTATTGATGAGAATAAGNAAACTAGACGTCCAAATTAACATGGCCAACGGTATCTCACCCATTGTGGTGGTCCTGAAAGAGTGGCTACCACTTCTGGAGAACGCACTAGGTCTGCTCATCGGGAAGACTGATTGTGCAGCTCGTAGGAAATTAAAAAAAACTTTAATTGATTTTTCAAACCATCCATCATTTTTGGGTATCCGGTCTCACTTTAATTTTCCTAAATCTTCCGTATACAATTGGCTTAATATACAAACTAGTCCAAACCTCAAAAAATCGTTTGGTAACTTAATAGTTGTAGCAAATGTTAAAACACTTCGCGTGTTTTTATCATGGTCAGCAGTGCGTCTAAAACCTAGACCTGGTAAACTCTGTACCTTAATAACAAGTGAACAGCAAGCTACAAAGACTTAAAGTGCACCAGCTGCTTATATTCTCAAAATCTTTTATCAACTTCGAGATCCAAATCATGATCACTACTTCTGACTGAAAACTTGAATTGACATTCAACTTATAACAGCAAAAAGCTGCTGAACAATTTACGAACAAAAAGTTAAGACAATAGACGACATTTTTACACTGATTATTTAATAACTGAAATGCTGAAATGAAAAAAAACCCTGCAAAACTAATATATGCTAGTTTTTTTTAGACTTTTTGAACTGTGACATCAGGAAGTTGGCTGGAAATGTCAAGATTCGATGGGTATGCACTCATACAAAAACTGGAACAATATGCAAAATCAAATGCAAAGAGGATAAAGAGTTTGAGAAACCACCCCCTGAAGAATATAAGTGCACACCTGACGGAACATGGACACCATCTGAAGTGCCATTATGCATAGAACCAAGTATAGGTACCACTATGATACTTTACATTTAATGCAATGTTGCAGAATATACTTAAACGTATGTGTTATTTGTGGGACTCAGTGCGTATTTATATATATAAAAAAATATTATTGTTTATAAGATTTTATTAAGATTTTTTGAACAAACAAATTTTAATTAAGTTTTGCTTATGTTTAAATATGAGAGCGATCGTTCAGAGGTTATAGCACTGCACTGACGTTGTGAAGAATTGCGGTTCGATTACCAGTGGCGACTACCAGTGAAATCCACCCCAAGTTCAGATACTAGCTTGTCTGGAAAGTAATGGCGGCCTGAGCGCAGTGATGACCATAATGCCACAATCAAGCCGTTGGTCACGAAATCGTGGAGGCTTAACCTCACAACAGGCTGTAGCGAGAATGCTTTACTTAGTGACTAAATATGGGGTTTTGTAATGATAACCCTTAACTGATATTATTGATTAAAACAACAAAATTTAAAAAAAAAAATTTTAAAAAAACGCATCAAAATTTAAAAAAAAATTTTTATTAGTCATTTTCGAGATTAATCAGGTCAAAGAATGTTCTGAAACCATGCACCATAAACATCAACCATCAAAATCACAAACAGTCTAGGATCAAACCCCGACCGCTGTTGACGGAAGTCCGATTCTCAAACCACTGGGTTACCATTGCCCTTCAGTTTCCTTTAATACACCTTTTGAGTTGTGTCTGTTTTCTTAAATACGCATTTTTTAGTTATGTGCATTTTCTGTAAAGATGCTTTTTGAACTACGTCCGTTTTCTTAAATGAGCGTTTTAAACTGTGTCTATTTTTTTAAATACGCATTTTGATCTGTGTCTAAAAAAACCTTAACAGCGTATTGTTTTCATATTTGATAATAGAAACTTCAATATAGTCAAAATCAATATCTACATTCAAAGTAACCGACATCTGGATCAATTGTAGATTTGAAGGGAAAAAAAAGGCCCTTTCCGCCTCTGATGCAGATGTAGTATTCCTTCACAATAGGAACATGTTTTAGATTTCTAAAGCTACTGGATTATTCTTTTTGCCTCTCGTTGACTTCTCTATTATCGATCTAGAAATAGATTCTGAAACTTTAGTGAGTTGTATTGATAGAAGTTGATGAACTTATTTCTGTATCTCTTCAGTAATCTAAAACTATTTTTTTTTTTTTTCAGTTTCAGGAAATGGCTCAAATAATGAAACTGTGTCCACGAGTTGAATCAATACTTGAAGATATTTTCTTAACGGAATCAATGTACAAATTTTGAGAGATGACAATAAATTTTATCACATTTTTGAAGAAATGCATTTTTTTTCCTTTTCTAAATTTGAAAATAAGCAGTAAGAAGAATGAGTACAACTTTGGTATTTATAATTATTTATTTGTTCTTTTTTTTAAACATGCTTTAAAACTTATGATCTGGTAGAAGAAAATTGATGATTTTAATAAGAATCACTCAATATTTTTTACCAATAAATAGCGTGTCATTATATAAATCGTTGTTCTTTCGTTATAAAAATGATACTCCATATTAGTGGGTGAAAATCGCTTTTTCAAACACATTCAGCCTTGTAACGTTAGTGCTTCACAATAAATTTCGAGAAAAGTGGCCTGACAACTTTTTTCCAAAGCTTGCAAATATTTTCTAAAGCTTGCTCATGAAACTAAGTTTATTTTTTAGTAGTAGTTTTTTGTTGCAAAATCATAAAAAAAGGCCAAATATATAAAAATCTCAATTTTGAATTTCTGTCTCTTACGTAAATTTTTCTATTGCACGATAGTATACTGGCTTCTAAAAGTTAAGATATATCTTGTTTTCAGTATCTAATTTGGAAATAAATGAATGCAGAAACAAGAAATTTCGTAGAAATCCGCAATAAGAATTTTTAATTGAATATGAAAGAAAAATTTACGCATGTTCTAACACTTATTTGAATTACTCAATTGAAAAAACTTCATTCGTTTCAAAAATGTGTTCAAATTGGAATTAACAATCTACACGTTTTAAGAGCTAAGAAATGAGCACCAGCATTTATTTACTGTTCAATATTTTGAGAAATACTCAAAATATTGAACAATAAGCAGAAACAAAATAACATTGTTGACTAACATGCACATAATTTTGTAATTAAACACCTTATTATAGGCATTAATCTGCAGTATCTTATTTTTATTGATAGCTCATTTTTAAAGCACAGATGTTTCCCATGTGGTAATTTTTTTCTCTCATTATTTTGTTACAGAGAAATTTCATCTGTTATAATATTACTTCGTTTTCAACAATCCATTGTTATTCTAAGATTTATGATCAGTAATATTTTGAAGTATGAAAAATGCACGAATTGACATATAAAAGAGATGGCAATTATTTTAAATCCTTATTTTCTTTCATTAGTTCATCTCCTCTCTTCCTGTTTTTTCCAGAAACGTAAGTATTTCTATTACTCTCTCATCTATACCCTCTTTAATTGAACATACAAAATGCAAATTTCCAATAAATACAAAATTTGCATTGAATAAACCACTGAATAAGAATAATATCCTAGGGTTTCTTGTTCATATTTAGTATTAAACTGGCATGATTAATCTACAATAAAATACTAAAATCAAGAGTTTGTTCTGTGTATTTGACTTTCTTATAACTACAAAACCGTTTGTGCTATCCTCCTGAAATTCCAACAGTTGCTGAAAGGGGTAATTTTAGGCTCAGACTTAAAAAATCGTTCTTAGGTTCTAAATTATTTATTTTTCGTTATGTCAGATAAACTGAATGATTAACCTAAACGTGGGGACATAAACAAACTTCGTCGCAAAATTAGTAATTAGTCATTCACAAAATTCGTCAAAAATGTACCAAACCACTTGTTTTGCTTATAGTAATGCTTTAAAAAGGTGACTCTATAAAACTATAAAATTAAATAATTTAAAACCAACTGTTTCTGAAATGAAAAATACGTAAGTTATGTACTGAAAAACAAAATTAATGGATATATAGTATTAATTCGTTTAGAAAAAACGTTAAGTGATGCTTAATTAAATAAATAATTCACAGAAACTGAAACAGTAAGATATTACTTGATTTAAAATGGGCACCTATTTTTGAATGCTTGAAACATGTCGACTGATGTTTTCCAATTTGTTTATTTTTGAAGCGAATGAGGTTTTTAATCAAGTTATATCAAGCTTAATTAGTTTTTGTAATAGTTACTAATTGAAGTAAAAAATAAACTATGAACTAAAAAGCAAAATCGATGGTGAAATGGTAATAATTCATTATTAAGAGAAGCGTAAAAAATAGCCAAGCTATTATCGGCGCCAATTATGCGTAATTAATTTTGGTAATAGATACTAATGTCGCCGGGATAGCCCAACACCTCCTAGAAGAAGGAAGGCCTCAGCACGGATCAATTTAGTAGTCTGATATGACGAAGTTAACTGCGCAGTTGACGAAAAATAAGAAAGATGTCATTACGTTCGGGGTACGAAGCTGCGCAGTGGTTGAAAATATGAAATATGTCATTACGTTTGGACTACTAAAGGATAGTTATGGTAACACGTGCTGAGACCTACTCTTTTCTAGGAGGTGATGCATACCCTGGTTAGTACGGCACCGGTCATTTCAAGCTATGTCCAAATTCTTAAATTCATATATACTATGTATTATGGTATTTATGGTATGGTATTTCATTATGGTATATTATGGTATTTCAAGCTATGTCCCATTTCATAAATATGCATTTCAAGCTATGCCTAATTTTTTAAATCAGCATTCTGTCCAAAATAAAAAGTTCAACGACGTTATCTTTTTGAGGAAAAGTATCTCATATTAGGCGACTTTATTTTAAAAGGCGAAGATCTTTCTAAGTACTATATATTCCCTTTCTAGTACATAAATTATCGCAAATAGCTCTCAGGGAAATCGCAAGAGGAAGTGCATAAAAACAAACTTGAATCAATGAGTCCGAAAAAGAAGTCTTTTCACAAAATATCTGCTACAGACGACCTGCCTTCGATTTCATAAATTCAATTAAAATAAACATTAAATGAAAAAAAAATAATGAAACAAGTTGATATTATTGAAATTTTTACACGAGTGTCGAGTGAAGTTTGTTTGGACTTAATAGTGAGAAGTTAAAAGAAATAAAGTTTAAAGGTTAAACAGGATAACTTCTGACGCACTCTTTAACAAAGCAACACGAATTCCGATAATATTGTTGTTTGATGGAACTAAAAGGTTCGAACTTCCCTCCCTTCCCACACCCATATCACGGACGTTGTCTATTCTGAAAAACACTTGCTGACCAATTATCATGTAGTGGGCGAACGCAGAGGTTTCTGAAATGATTTCCTTTTTGACGTCCGCTTGAAAAAAGGTTCACTGAAAAAAAACTGTAGCAATTGATAGATGAAGGGTTAATGCTATGAAGCTTTTTCTAAACCCCCGATGGCTACTCATTCTAATGCTAATTATTCTATGCTTCTCATCCGCGTAAGTACTATTTTGTGTTTCATAGTGCTTTTAATATTTTTTTTAAAGGTAGTGCTTTATGATCAGTAATATTTTGAAAGGGGGGGGGGAAGGAAACTAATCGCTCTTTTCAGGTCTAGGGGAATGGAGCCAGTATGCCTTTTATTTTAGAAGCCCTTGTGTTCCTGTGATTCTGTGAAGTTGGGGGCAGGTTGAAACCCGAATTGCTGGAGAGTGATGATATTATTATTGCCGTGATTTCTGATCCTGTTGGGTATAATTTCTTCCGCGATTTTATTTAGAAAGAAATTTGAAAATAAAAATTCGGCTTATTTCGCAGCGAAGAAATCTGAAAATAAAACATCGGCGTATTTGGTAGTAAGAAATTTGAAAATAAAACTTTAGCGTATTTCTTAGCAAAAGAATTGATAATATAGTTTGTCTAGGACTATTAAAACCTTGAGTACAACTATGATTCTTTCTTATGTCTTTTTTGTGGGGTTTTGTTTTATTGGATACGCATTGTATGTAATTATGCAATACCATTAGAAATAAGAACATGAATTTTTAATGACACCTTGATTGTAAAAATTTTGGATGTACACAAAATGCCGATTTTCAAAAGCAATAGTTAATTATAGTTTCGCAGAGATACAGCTACAAGAGTTTTCTTGGGCTATGTAGAAGAAATTTATGAAATATAATTAGGTTTTACTTTGAATTTACTTAAGTATTATTTTGAACTATTTCACTATGTATAGATTAGAAATATATCTAGCACAAAAAAAATAATAATTATTAGTTTAAACTGATTAGCAAAACAGTCTATGTTTTTTTTAAATTTTAAAATGGTTCTTCGAACATTATATATATTTCTTCATGATCAAATTATTTGTAATTAAATTCAGAAAAAAAATTAGTAACGAAATTTATGTTTCTATGATACGGTGGGAATAAAATAATTGCTGAAGTTAAAGGAGAGGAAAAACATTGCTGTCAAGTATGATTATGAAGATAGCGTGTTTTTAAGTTGGAAATAGACTTATTTTATGGAGTGTGAATAAACAGAACTGCACGCCGATGATTGATGTTGAAAAAAGAGAAATCGGATAATAGATAGCGAGCAGGAAAATTCTAACTTTCCTAGAACGATAAAAACTGATTATTTGAAAATGTTAAAGTAGCTGTAACTGGCTTAGTATTTTAGTTAGAGAATTGTATACTGAAATATGTATTTTTATTTTCCGACGAAAAAAAAAATATTGCTTGCATTTCCATCTATTGTAATTATTTTTATATTTTCGACTAGAAAAAAGCTATTTTTATTTGCGAAAAATACGTGAATACAATTAATAAATAAATTCAAACTGATATTAAAATTTTTTGTATAATCGTTGATCTAATGAGTGATCAAATTTGAAATATCTTCATTTTTAAAAAAAAAAATCAAGCAGTTGTTATTAATTTTAAATTTGAATTTTAAAAAAATTCTTATAAAAGATATAATTATCTGGGGCTATATGAAAACCCCCGACTTCCCATATTGCCATAATAATAACATTATGAGGATAATATGATATAGAATTGTTCAAGCGAGTAATTTTAAGAATGATCACGACTTCGTTCTGGGAAACAATATATTGTATACAGAAATTCTGGATTCTTACTTAAGTACTTATATAGAAACAATCCTAGGGAAAATTTTGGTGTAAAATTGTTGCTTGTGGAAAGAGTGAGGCCTGTGATTACATTATCCCAAGCCTTTCAGAATAGTCCGCAACCTGTAAAAATGCATGATGCGTTTTTTTTTTTTTTTTAATTATAAAGCGTACAACTGCACTTAATACAAGTGCATAGTGCATTTCACGACATAGGATTTCTACGCATTAGTTCGGTTAGTTTCAAGTGAAGGTTGTGCAATATATGAGAACTTTTAAAATCGAAAATGTAATTACAGATTTCGCCCATTCTTATAAACAAACATTAAAAGGCAGCAACATTTGTAGTGTTATTTATCCGATAGGAATTCATCTGCTCCCAAAATAGAAAAGAAAACAAGTCTTATCATTTGAGTTTTATCGTATGCTAAAATTTGCAACGAAACGTTTTAAAGAGAAATTAGTCATGTTTGATCAATAAATATTATGATTTTTTAAGAAAGAGGGTCTCTTCTGTATAAAATCTTGTCTTTCTTGGTGGTTTCTTTTAAGGGGCGTCCCTAAAAAGCAGCATCAGCATTTGCTGACCACCTTTGATATGATGTGGTTGTTTTTGACGTGAGCCTAGAAATTTCAATGCCGATTCTGGTTCCTGAAATAATTGGAATACCAATTTTAATCAGCAGCTAATTAAAAGTTTAGGCATTTTATCGCCAACGATGGATTTATCCATTTTAACTTCCTCGCCATTTTCTTTTATTCTTTGATTTGCTTAAATAGGGATCTCGAAGATATTTTTCTATCCTGCTGAACTACATCATCCAATTTAAAGTATAGTTTGATTTGAAAGTGAAAAATGCCGTAGAATGACATTATTTTAGATAGCAACTAGTGGTTCAAAATTAGTATAATGCTTCTAAAAAGCTTAACTGGTTTCGTTAGTGTGTTTTATGCTTCGTTAAGACCAATAATTATAATGCATGGAAGAGAAAAATACTATCAAACATAAAATTGGAAACGTGAACATGTTTGACAGATGAGAATTTGGATATTATTTTGAGAAATGCAAGTGCAAATATGTCACGTAATATCAATGTTTTAGATAAGTAAAAACAATGTCTAACTTCATATAGGTTAGAAATTTTAATAAGTTAGAAATTATATTAAGATGGAAATGTATTTTTACTGAAAATATGTTTATACCAGAATAATCATATTTTTCTTCTGTTTCAAAAGATAACAAATGTTAATAAAATAATTTGGTTTTGCTTTCATTTTGTTTCAATTTTTAATAAAGTACTAACATAATAACAAATCTCAGCAATCTAAACTAAAATTAGTTATCTAACTCTTGCTAATGAATTTTTTGACCATATTATATTAAAAGTACAGGTCGTGGGATTTCCTAAAATTATTGACATGACATTCTGGCACAAAAGGTGAAAATCTAGTTTCAATAGATTATGACGAAATGCGCATACTTAAAATTTTAAATCGTATATTTAAAATTTGATTTCTCAAAAACTAATGTAACAATTTTGTTCAAATTTTGTATTTTGCCATTTGAAGTTATATGGCTTAAAATGATGCAAAAATTTATGTACCTTAGAATTTACACTTAGAAAAAAATAAGGATTAACCTATCAGAGTATGATAAAATTTACCGAAAATTTTGCTTCAGAGAAACACCAAAAAAGTTCGGTAGTTTTGACCAAAGCGCTTTGTTAATGATTTTTGGTAAAATTTAGAATAAAATAGGATTTTAAAATATGTGATAAAATGTGGTAAAATTTAGTAATTTTATGATGATACCATAGAGCATGGCATAAAAACCATCCATTCTGTGCAATTTACTTTTCAGTTTTGTATGTAATGTGTGGTAATAGGAACTACAACTTTAAAAACCAGAATTTCCGATGAACTATTATCACATGAACGGAAAAAATACCAAATCAATGATTAACCAGATTTTTTTTTTCTTACCAGAAATGTCATTACCATGCAAAACGGTAATTTTACTAGAATTTTTTTATCCTGCACATTTTATTTTCGGTAATAAAATAACCGAAACGTGTAAATAATATAAAAAATAATTTTTTGCTTCAGATTATCTTTGGATAAGCAAGTTTAATTGTTGTGTGGTAAAAAAATTTCGATTCTCTTTAAAAAACTTGGGGCTATTCACCATATTTTGAAGGTCAAGAATCCGAATTGGATGGGAAAAAAAAGCATGTTTATTGTGAAGAACTGTTTTATGCTACTAAAGTTTCATGTAAGATTATTTTGTTAATATGTCGATCATAAGGATATAAAGGAAAATCTAGATCAAAGAAATGTTCAATTGTTTTTGAGAAAAAAAATAAACTTAGGAATACAGATTGTGTGACTGAAAAAGAAGTAATTCTACTCGTTGACTACACTTATATTATTATAACAGTTCAAATAGGAAAGTTTTTTTTTATTTTTTAAATCGAATTAAGTTTTTTATAGTTTTAAAAATTTCTTTATGAATATTAAGATTTATATCTGGCAACATCTATTTCATCTGATTTTTTTCTTGACATCAACTCACGCGCAAGCTTATAAAATAAGGATTTACAGTGAGATAACGAAATTTTCCCACAGCAATGAGCAATTGTCATTATTTATAGCAAAAAAGTAGATAAATTTGTGAGAAAAAGCACATAAAAATGCAATACTTCTCGAACAATTTGGAATTTCGGAGAAAAAATATTAGCTGCATGTCTGCAGGCTGCAAAGCGGCACACACGACATTTTTTACTACGTGTTCAACAGGTAATAATTTTCTTATGAGTTATGAAATGTAAAGTTTATTCATTTCATTTCATTTTTTGTTTATTTTTCTACACACTATTGTAATTTCAAGTTTCTAAGTTTCATAGCTTTTGCTCAGCGAAATAAAATTAACCTAAAATTAAACACTTAAAGCATTTTTCCACTTTTTTTTTTAAAAAAAAATAGAGCGATAACAAATGAAACAGCAATTTGAAAACTTTAAATTATACTTTATTTGAAATCAACAGTTTTAAAACATTAACTTTTCTAGGCTTTTATAATTCAATTTTTTAGCTCTTGTCAATATAGATTGCGTAGTTCCGAATTAATTGGATGAACATTCTAGACTTCGTTATTTCTAGAATAACTTCAAGCAGGAAGTCGAAGTATCTTGGTCTTATATAAGTTAACTTCCGATATATGTATATAAACGAGTGTTGAAAGGAAGGAAATAAAATATGCTTTGATTGCTTTAAATATTCCAAGTTGAAGTTATCTATGAATACACAATAGGTGTGTCGTCAGCAATTGTAATATGTACTACTATGCAACTACATTACACTAGAC